CACACACACACAGGCTGCCACACTGTGTTGCACTCTCCACGTGTGATTGAGGTTGACTCTGGCCTCAGCTCCAGGCAAGGTCCCAAGGAAGGGGACTGCATGTCTGTGGCAGGGCTGTCTCTCTGGAAAGAAGCAGCCCACCTGGTCAAGGGGGACACGAGTTAGCCTGGACCTGTCCAGGGTTTGATATAAGGACCAAAGGGCCTCAGAACGGGGACGGTGCAGGGTGCCACAGGTCTAGGTGCAATGGGTCGACATGAGGACCACGAGGCTGTGTAACAGAGTGCAGAGGGGACCAAGAACACGTGGGACAGCTAAGAAGGCGGGGACCATTAGCAGCAACAAGGCACAGCTGGGGGGGGGGGGCTGTCTCCAGAAACACAGTTTGAAGAAGTCCGCCGAGAAGGCTTGTGCCTGCAAGCCTAGCACTCAGGAAAAATAAATAACTAAACGTAATGAAAATGAAAAGCAAGGGTAGAACGCTCGCCTAACATGCAGGAAGCCATGGGTCCCCAGCACCCCATAGACTGAGTGATGGCACACCCCGTGATCTCAGCACTCAAGAGGCAGAGGCAGGAGGGTCAGAAGTTCAAGGTCATCTCAACTACGTAAGGACTTTGAGGACAGCCTGGGCTACCTGAGGTCCTTCCTGTCTCAAAAACTTAAAAAAAAAATTTTTTTTAAAGCCCAATCTTGTCCTCTGTGTGTCCAGGAGCTTGGCTTCTGCTTAGGCCCAGCCCAGGGCAGGGTGACAGAAGTGGGCAATGGGGCTTTGTTCCTCCACCTTCCAGGTAGGCCCTGGCCCTTCCCATGACTACTATGTACACCCATCATCTTGGGGCTCAGGGTTCCTGCTAGCCCTAGGCCACCCACACCCCTTTTCTCTCGGTAAACACTCTCAATTGCTCTCCAGGACAAGCTACCATCTGCTTCCTGCCATGGCGGGCTCATTCAGGGCATGGGTTAAGACCTTCCAAACAGAAGGCTTTAAGGTCACTTCATTCGGCCCTGGCCCTTTTTCCCCTTCTTTTTTTTTTTTTTTTTTTTTTGTTTTTTTTTGGGGGGGGTGATTGTTGTTGCTGCTGCTGTTTGTTTTTAAGACAGGGTCTCATGTAGCACAGGCTGGCCTGAAATTACAGGCATGCACCTGCACCATTACATCACAGGGTGCTGGCAATGGAACCCACGACTCCCGGGTGTGACAGACAAGCACTCTGCCACATCCTTGTGGCCCTCCCCTTGCATTTTTAGAGACAGGATCTCCTGTGACCCCAGCTGGTCTTGAACTCCTTATATAGCTGAAGCTAGCCTTGAACTTTCTGACCCTCCCACTGCTAGCTCCCATTCCTAGGATTACAGGTGGGCTGTCGGGGATCACCCAGAGTAAAGAGACTGTGGAAGGGCTGAGGATGTAGAAGAGCGTGGGGTACAGAGAGGACCAATAACAACACAAAGGAGTGTGGTGTTGCACACCTTTAATCCCAGCATTCGGGAGGCAGAGGCACATTATAGGCCAGCCAGGGCTAATAGACAGAGCCTGTCTAAAAAAAGAGAAGGGAGGGACGGAGGAGAGAGAGGGATGGTAAAATAAGGAGCAAGAGAGTTGGCTCAGTGGTTAAGAGAGCTCGTGGCTCCTGCAGAGGACCCAGGCTTGGTATCCAGCACCCACGTGGTGGCTCATTGTAATGAGATCTGGTGCCCTCTTCTGGCAGGCAGGCAGGCAGACATGCAGACAGAACTCTGTATATAGAATAAATTTTTAAAAAACAAACAAACAGTTGGGCGTTGGTAGCACATGCCTTTGATCCCAGCAGAGGCAGGTGGATCTCTGTGAGTCTGAAGCCAGCCAGGTCAACAGAGCTAGTTCCAGAACAGGCTCCAAAGCAATACAGAGAAACCCTGTCTCGAAAGCACAAAGATAGATAGATGATAGATAGGTAGATAGATAGATAGATGATAGATGATAGATAGATAGATAGATAGATAGATAGATAGTTAGATAGATAGATAGATAGCATGCTAGGGCATGGCTGTAATCCTATATCTTGGGAGGTGGACACAGGAGAATTAGTTCAAAGTTATCTTTAGCTACATAGTAACTTGGAGACAAGCCTGGGCTACCTGAGATTCTGTCTCAAAAAAAAAAAAAAAAAAAAAAAAAAAAAAAAGGCTCTAGAGAGTCCCAGGGTGGGATCATCCTGTTGGGATCCTGTTTGTTCTCTAAGCCCTTCCTGCTTCTCCCAGCCAAATTACTGCTCATTTGAGAGTTTCCTCCATATAGTAGCCTTATCTATCTGTTCAGGATCATAAACTACTTAGGGCCATTTGCAGGCAAGGGGAACCCAGCCAGCAGTACCTTGCCTGACTTCCTGCCTCCCAGGGTGAGGCCCTACACGTGGCACCAGCTATCACCAAGGGTCATGTTGTCCCTAAACTGTCTACCCAGAAGCCTGTTGTTGCTTTTGTCTGGGCACCCCGCCCTTGCCCACCTGGCACAGGTGTCCTGCTCCATCACCAAGACCAAGTCGCTCCAGGAAGCCTCCACTGTGGCTCTTTCCAACAGCTGAGTGCAGTGTGCCCTGTGTCCCCACCCTTAGCAACCAGGGAAATCATGAGGGCAGAGCCTTGCCTGGGCACCGAGGTGTAGCAGGGTTGATGATGATACGTCCTGTGTGACCTGGATTAGGCTGGAGGCTGGGGTCTGGAGTTGATAGTAGTTTTGGGAACCACAGTGTATCCAGCCCCCCAGCCCTGTCTGGGCTTCCCTAGCTAGAAGTGTGGGTTACACCAAGTGTAGTTCCAAACAACACCACTACCTCTTTTTCTATATTTTTATTTTGTTAGACTTTGTTATTTTTTTTTTTTTTAATAAGGTCTCTCTACTGTCCTGGGACCCTGCTCTGTAGACCAAGCTGGCTTTGAACTCACAGAGATCCACCTGCCTCTTCCTCCAGAGTGCTGGGATTAAAGGCGAGCACCACCACATCCGACTCTATTTCGTTAGTTTTAATTATGCACATGTGTGTCTGTGAGTGCAGGCATCTACAGAGGCCAGAAGGGAGCGTCACTTAACCTGGACCTGCAGATGTCTGTGAGGCTGCTGGGAGCTAACACCCACCCTTTCCAAGAGCAGCTAGTGCTCCTAACTGCCGAGCCATCTCTCCAGCTGTACTTCCTATGGACAGGCGGGGAGCAACAGCTGTTTTTCCAAAGGAGAGATGAGCCACAGAAAGGGGCTGAGCCGGGTGAACCTGTTCTGGATACACAGTCCAGGGTCCTTGTATGTGTGTATGTATGTGTTGGGAGGGGGATTATAGGTCAGGGATACATGTATATGCACATTGCATGTGGAGGCCAGAGACCCACCTCAACCTGTCCACTTAAAAAAATATTTATTTTATTTTGTGTGCATGTGTGTATGGGTGTGCACACCTTGTCTGTATGTGCATTATGTGTGTAGGTACCTTTGGAGACATCAGATCCCCTGAAGCTGGAGTTATGAGCAGGTGTGAAGTGCCCAGCCAGTATGGGTTCTGGGAACTGAACATGGGTTCTCTGCAAAACCAGCAGGTTCTCTTGATGACTGAATCGCCTCTCCAGCCAACAGGGTCTCACTATGTACCCCTGGCTGCCCAGAACTTACATGTAGACGAGACTGGCCTTGGACTCTCAAAGATCTGCCTGCTGAAATGAAGAGACATGAGCCACCACCTCCGAGCAAAACATGAGTCTTATCTCACTTTGAGAGCTTCTCCCAGAGGAGCTAGGACAAGGGGACAGGAAGACTGCTCAGGTGATGTCTTAGTCAATGTTTCATTGCTGCAAACAGACACCATGACCAATGCAACTCTGACAAAGGGAAGCATTTAATTGGGGCTGGCTTACAGTTCAGAGGTTTAGTCCATTGTCATCATGGCGGGTTGCATGGCAGCAAGCAGGCAGACATGGTACATGGCAGAGAGGTAGCTCAGAGTTCTACATCCAGATTGGCCGACAGCAGGAAGAGAGAGTGAGCCACTAGGCGTGGCTTGAGTTTCAGAAACCTCAGAGCCCACCCCCCTCGTGACATACTTCCTCCAACAAGACCACACCTACTCCAAAAAGGCTACACCTGTTATGAGTAGGTTTTTCCCTGCCGGTCTGGCTCTGCCACCACACCAGCCCCATATAACACACAGAGACAATAATGTCATTCCCTGTGAGTCTATGGGGGCCATTTTCATTAAACCACCACAGGTGTGGTAGCATAATACATAATGCTGGCGCTCAGGACACTAAGGCAGGGGGATCATGAGTTCTAAGACAGCCTGGGTTATATAGTGAGACCCTGTGTCAAAGGAAGTAGGCATATCATGACACATGCCTGTAATCCCAGTACTTCAAGAGGCAGGTGCAGAACTAAGCAAGTTCCAGGACAGCCTGGTCTACACAAAGAGATCGTGTCTCTTGGGGTTCAGGAAATGACTCAGTTGGTATCTTGCAAGTGTCAGGACCTGAGCCTGATGCCTAGCACCTGTGTAAAAAGCCAGGCATAGTAGCCTGTGTTTGTGACCCCAGGGCTGGAGAGACAGGGACCCCTGGGGTTCAGTGACCAGGTAGCTGAAAGGGTCTGGCCACTGAGACAGACCCTGGCTCAAAAAAGAAAACAAAAACAAAAAAACTCCAAACAAACCAAAAAAACAAGGCGGGGCTGGAGAGATGGCTGGGCAGTTAAGAGCACTTGCTGCCCTTGCAGAAAATCCAAGTTCAGTTCTCAGCACTCACAGTGGCTCACAACTATAGCATAACTCCAGTTCCAGGGAATCTGACGCCCTCTTCTGGCTTCCTTGGGCACCAGGTGCACATGTGGTGTATACAAATGCATGCAGGCACAACACTCATACATATAAAAACCAAACCAAACAAACAAACAAAAAAGTGGAGAGAGAGACACAGGTTTCTGCGCGCGCACACACACAGAGTAGAATGGCAGGGCTGGGGGAAATGAACCCAGGTATATGTGAGATAAATACAAAGATGTTAAGGCAATTTATTTCTGATAAGGACTGGCTAGTCCAAGCTTTGGGCTGAAAGCATTTCCCCCTAGGTTTCCAGAAGGTTCCAGGCAGGTCCCAGCTCAGGCTCAGCCACTCGGCCCCTGGAGAAAGCCCTTGGGACCCTCTCAGGAACTCCGCTCAGCTCCATGGCTGTCCATGTGGTGGGTGTGATATTGTCTCAGGTGGACTTGCTCCCCTGGGCCGGACACAGGGGTCTTCCAGCAGCTTCAGATCGAGTGAGAGGAAATGGGAGAGAAGGGTCAGTGAAGAACCCTAACTCTGCCTCCGCTTTTATGTGGGCCCCAGGGATCAGCCTGACATGGGCATTGAGAAGATGACAGAGCTCTCTTGTGAAAACAGCCCAGTTTCTAGCTCCCTGTGCAAAGGTTTGAAGCACCACAAACCACAGTGGGGCTTAGGTTAGACCCTTTAAAATTGTTAATGTCCTTAGTTGAGGGTTGTGTGTGTGTCCAAGAGCACATGATGGCCAGTGAGATGGCTCTGTGGGTGAAAGTCCTTGCTACCAAGCCTGAGGACTTGTGTTCGATCCCTGGGTCCCACATGGTTGAAGGAGAGAACCAACTCCAAAAGCTTGTCCTCTGACTTCCCCATGTGTGTTCTGGTACAAACACTCTACCAACTGAGCCACACCCCAGCCCAGGAATAAAGACACACTTATGTCCCTCCCTTTGGCTATCAGACTATAAAACAACGGATCCCAAGAAATTCCTCAGGAATCAATCCCATGCTGGGGAAGCAGAGGGCTGAAGCCTGGCGCCAGCCAGAGAGAGACTAGCAGGACACAATGGCGGATGGTCAGTGATGGCTGGGACCACACCTTCACCAGGGTTGCTCAACCATGCCTATTCCTTACCCTCTATTTAAACCTAAACCTCATGTTAAGATCTTGCCAGGATCCCAAAGATTGACAAACGAGTCACTGGGTCTCTTTGTTACTCTTTCCCACAAGGTCACGTTGAATTTATTTATTTATTTTATTCTATTACTTTGAAGTATGTGTGTGTGTGTGTGTGCGCGCGCGCGCGCGCGCGTGTACAGTAGAGGCATTAGATCCCTCTGGAGCTGGAGTTACAGGTGTTTGTGAGCCATCAGTCATGGGTGCTGGGAACTTAACTCAGGTTCTAAGTGTAGTAGTACACACTCCAAACCACTCAGCCATTGTTCGGGCCCCTCCTTCTCATCATTACCCATCTGTTTAATTGGCCCATCCAGGATTGGTGATGGAACCTAGCTTGCTAGGGCTGCCAGCCCCCATGCTTTTCTCCTAATGGGTCTCGTAATTCCTTCTCAGGGCCCGGCCCCAACCAAAATCCAGGGATCCTCTAAAACCAGTGGTTTTCAACCTTCCTAACTCTGCGACCCCTTAATTCCTCAGGTTGTTGTGACTCACAGCCATAAAATTATTTACGTTGCTACTTCATAACTGTAATCTTGCTACTGTTATGAACCGCAGTGTAAACAAACATCTACTATTGGGGATATTATTACCCCTGTGAAATGTTTTCGGACTACCTGCTTGCAATTCCACATACTGCCGCCAGGGGGCAGGCGGCGACCGCTGAGAAACCAGGCCTTTGATGGAGACAAGGGAAAAGGGTTATAGATAACCTCGCCTAACCTTCCTGGGAAACAACTTCATCAGACAACAAGAAGCAACCGAGGAAGGCTACTGCTGCGAGGCAGAACAACACCAGCCCCGTCCACTCACCAAGCGGATATGACCAGGACCAGAAGGACCACCAGCAAGATTGACAAGAAAGCAATGATGACCACAGTACTCTTGCTCCGGAACCCTGGGTCTCCTGGGACTGTCTGGGCTACACAGGCAAGCAGGAAACATTTAGTCAGCTTTCAGACCAACCATCCTGTGTCCACTGCGGAGATGTGAGAATTGAACAGGGACAGACTAGGGGAGGGGTACAAGCAGAAAATAGGGTAATACTATGCTTTCTGATAGGGGAGACCTTCTTTCCCCAGCCCCCTGGTGTCCCCAAGTCCGTTAGCACCCTTTTGTCCCTATACCTTGCTGCAGGTAGATTTCCTCAGACCACTCCGTCTCAGCCACGGGTCCCTTGGGGCTCATCGCCAGGAACTTCACTCTGAACAGGAGACCAGTATTGGTGGTAAAGACTCCCCATGGTCCTAAAACCCTCAGATCTTGATGCCTGGGATCCTGTCCTCTGGGGACAGCAGCCTGAGGAAGGAGTCAGCCCCAGAGCCGGACAGAAGCTGAGACCAATCGAGTTAGCAGCGGCCCTCACTGTGTGTGTGTGTGTGTGTGTGTGTGTGTGTGTGTGTGTGTGTGTTAGATCCCTCCATATCTAATGTGAGTAAATCAAACATCTAGTCAGAGGAGAAAGGGGCCCAAGGCCAGTCTCCACCTATGAATGCCCAGTCTGGATTAGGGACAATCCATATGCATGGTCAGGACCTCCCATGGCATAAGGGGGTTGAGTTAGGAGGATCGCTATTTAAAAAGATGTGAGGAGGCCTTAAGAGAACATATTGCATCCGTGTCAGGTAGCTCAGCTGCCTATAAGTAGTTCCAGGGGATCAGACTCACATATGGCTCCTCACATCCATGTGAACAACCACACACACACATAAAAATAAAATCAATCTCTTTTTAAAGATTTCGTTTTATTATTATCTTATGTGTATGAGTGTTTTGCTTGCATATATGTCTGTGTACATGCATTTGTGGTGCCCTCAAAGGCCTGAAGAGGGTGTGGGGTTTCCTGTTATTGGAGTTACAGATGTTTTGTGAGCCACCATGTGGGTGCTGGGAATCAAACCCGGGACCTCTGGAAGAGCAGCCGGTGCTCTTAACTGCTGAGCCATCACTCCAGGCCCCATAATTTAGGATTTTTGTTTGTTTGTTTGTTTAAGATAGTTTCTCTGTGTAGCCTGACCTGGAACTAGTTGTATAGACCAGGCTGGGCTCGAACTCACAGAGATCCTCCTGCCTCTGCCTCCGGAGTGCTAAGATTAAAGGCATGTGCCACCACCACTCTTTTTTAAGAAAGAAAGACGCTCAGTGCTTGCTTAATAGTACTTCTTGTTGTTGCAAAAGGACCCAAGCTCTATTCCCAGCATCCACATGGAGGCTCAACACCTCCTTGGGCACCAGACACATATGTTGTACACAGATGTACATGTATTTATAAAATTAAATTTTAAAAAGAATGATGTAAGTGTAAGGATTCAGGCATTACGCTGGCCTGCCCCAGTCACCTGGCAGAATGCACTCAGGCAGTATCCTGATCAGCCCAGGTGCAAAGGACCCTTTTAAAAGAGAGGCCTCCGCCCAGTTATACTCTGTCTTTCCTGCTCTTTCTGTCCGTTCTGTATCCCGCTGTTCCCCTGGGGCAGACAGGACTTTCCTGTCTCCCTCTTCTCTTCAGTCCTCTCTCTGTTTCTTTACCTCTTTTCTCTTTCCTCCCCACCCCCCTTGCCCTTTCTAATAAAACTTCTCCCTTAAGCTCTGTCTGCCTGGCGTGTTTGTCCTCCACCGCGGTCACCCTCGCCTGCCGTGTCGCGTGTGTTATCATAATAGTGAGGACCTGCCTACTGTCAGTGAGAGGGGGGGTGCTAGAGCACCCCCTTAGCTTGTTCCATGCCCAGGTCCCACCCCCAGCACCGCTAATATAAAAAATAAAATAAGGAAGGGAGAAAGGAAGGAAAAATACCGGGGAACCCAGGCACCCCATCTGACCTCAATGATCCATCCAGTGGCTGCCTTGGGCTCCCGTCTGCCCCAGGCAGGCTGCCTCCCCACTCTTTGCTGCTCACCTGTAGGGGCCAGCACCTGGCAGCGGAGAGTTACAGCCCGGCAACTCCAAGGAGCAGTTGGTATCGTTGCCCACACGGAGGACTCGGAGCTGGCTGCTAACCTGGCGGCCCTGGTACTGTACCCGGTTGGCCTTCAGTGTGAGGTAGTAGCCATTGCGATCAAAGCCGGCAGGGGCATGCTTGTCCTCTACCTTCTGCGGGGCAGCAAAGTTCTGGGTGGCTGCGGGTGACACTGAGGGTCAGCCAATGGGGACCACATGGGCAGGACCACAAATTCCATGCTTGCAAGCTTGACAGCTTTTCCCAGCCACAGCCCCCAAAGCACCTCCCTCCCAGACCCCAGCCCTGTTTGTCCATTTCACAGTGGAAAGAGAGTACATACAGTTGCTGTGGGCCACCACCAGCCAGATGGGGTCCGGGTCAGAGAGGCTGCCATTCTCAAACTGGCCCAGGGGCTGCTCCAGTGTGAAGGTGGATTGCGTGAGCCTTCCCAAGAGGGTGGCATTGTAGAGCTGGGGGACGTAGTGGATGCTCTCTGGGAAGGGTGGGAAAACAGGGCAGGGAAGGCAGAGTAAATCAGCTTCAGTCAAGACAGGGTTGTGTCTGTCTCCCAAGCCACGGTCCAAAGGGGATTAAGGAACCGTTTCTTCCAACAAAAGAAGTTTTTTTTTTTTTTTTTTCTGTTTTAGTTTTTTGAGACAGGGCTTCTCTGTGGCTTTGGAGCCTGTCCTGGAACTCTCTCTCTGTAGACCAGGCTGGCTCACAGACTCACAGAGAACTACCTGCCTCTGCCTCCCAAGTGCTGGGATCAGAGGCACGTGCCACCAACGCCCGGCTCACCACATTCACGTTTATTTATTCCATTTCTGTCTCTCACTCTGAGTGTGCATGCCTGTGTGTGTGTGTATACCCATGTGTGCCACAGGTCAAGGGCAATGTTGGGGAGTTGACTGTACCATGTGGGTCCTGGGGATCAAACTGATCATCAGGGTTAACAGCAAGTGTCTTTACCAGCTGAACCATTTTACCTGATCCAAAACTAAGGAATCTTTATGGGAGGTGCCCTTAGGGGGCTGTGGAGTACCTGGACCCCCCTCTTTCGATAGCCTATGGAAGGCAGGTACTGTGCCACTGGGGTGATGGGCAAGGAATGGTCAGATGGACAGAGAGAGGCTCAGGAAACTCAGATTCAGGGCATCCAGAACCCAAGGCTGGGCTCGTCCAGAGACCCTGGGTGCCCCTCCTGCTCAAGCCATGCAGGCCCATTAGTTTGATGAGAATGAACAAGAGCTGGAGAGATGGCAGTTAAGTGCCAGCCTCCCAAACATAAGGACATGAGTTTAGATTCCCAGACCATGTCAAAAGTAAGGCACGGCAAAGGCACCTGGCATCCCAGAGAGAGTGAGATGGGCCACAGGAACAAGAGGATCCCTGGAACTGATAAGGAGACTGGCCTGGCCCACATGGAAAAGTTCCTGGCCAATGAGAGACCCTGTCTCAAAGAGAAGGTGGAAAGACCTTGAATGCCAGCATCCATGGTCATCTGCTGACCTATACACACGCTCCAGAGCCACACACCTGTCCCCTCGTGTGTATGTGTGTGTGGCCTGGGGCTAGCTCATTCAAAGACATTACTTTCTCCCTTCTGAGATCTTTGCCACCTTCCACCATCTTCCATCCTCATCGTGGTCACATGGCCAACATCGTCATGGCCACATGACCAGTGCCTATCATTTCAACCCTCATCTCTTTTGTCCCCTTCTCAGGTCTGTATATACAGTTTTTTATGCTACAGGGGACCCCATGGGAGCACCACCCCCACGGGAGCACCATGGCTTTGTCCAGCTTCCTTCTCATAGGCAGGCTTTCCCTGTGTAGCCCTGGCTGTTCTAGAACTCACAGAGACTCATCCAGCCTGATAAGCTGAGGTCTGTGTCCAGGATCCATCAACTCGCTCCTGAAAGTTGCCCTCTGACCTCCACACTTGTATCACAACATGTATTCAACCATCACACACACACACACTAAACAAATAAAAACAAAACCCCATCCTACCACAGAAAACTAGGGTATTCTGTATACAGTAGGTAGTTAACATTTGCTTAATTTGAGGGAAGAGGAATGGGGGTATGGAGATAAGGGGTTACTAAGGGGCCCTTGATAAGAATGTGGGCATAGGAGTCCACAAGAGGAGAGAGGCAATGTTCTTGCTCTTCATTCTGGGGGTTGAGGGTCAGTCCGTCTGTCCAGACTGTGTGAGGTGGGCTGAATGCCTTGACACACCCAGGCACCCGTCCACAACCAGGGGAGGCACTGGAGGCTCCTCCAGCTCCCAAAGAAATGTTCCATCCTACAGAGGGCTGAGTGTTTCAGGGTACCCTGCACTCCCCAGCCTCACTCACCCAGACCTGCCCCAGGCTGGACAAGAGTCACCAGCAGCAGCAGCAGCAGCAGCAGCGAAGACTGTCCCTCGCGAAGCCCCATGGCTGGGATGCTGTCCCTCCTCCGGGTCCGTCTGTCTGCAGAGCAGCCCCACCTGCTCTGCCTGGGCTGCACTGCTCCTGTTTTGGGGTGCCCTCTCCTCCTGTACAACTGGTTGGACAGGTTCAGGGGCTGAGTCTACAGGCTCTGGGGGATTTGGCATCACTAGGGATGGGTCTGAAGAGAACAGAACAATGAGGAAGCCTAGCCAGGACCCCTGCCCACCACTCCAAGAGGGCCTGGGCTGGGAGGGGCCAGGTATGGAACAGGCAGCTCTGGGCATGAACTGTCCCATAAAAATCCTGCCTTGCCACTAGGGACACCTTATAGTCAGTCCCCTTGCGAGGGACAGAGTCCCTTTATCTTCTGGACAAGAGACACAAAGAGTAGGTGTCCCTTTAAGATCACCTAAGCCAGGTAGTCCCAGCAAATGCTGGCCCTGGGACTCTCTCTCCCTCCCTTCTTCTCCCCCCCATTCACATTTAGTACCTAAGCTGACCTCAAACTGAGAATATAGCCAAGGATGACCCTGAACTTATGATCTTCCTTTATGAGTGCTGGGATTACAGGAGAGCTCCCAGCCATCACAGCTAGCAAGCCACAGTGTATACCCACATAGATAATGCTTCTATACCTCTATGTACGTGTGAGATGTATGAGAAAGATCATAGATAGATAGATAGACAGACAGACAGACAGACAGACAGATAGATAGAGGCTGAGATGTAGCTCAATGATAGAATTCTTTCCTGGCATGTATATGGACCTAGGTTCCTTTCCTAGCATCAAAAATATATGGGTGTGTGGTATACATACACATACATACATACATACATACATACATACATACATATTCTCTCTCTCTCTATTTCTCAAGGAAGCTGAAAGCCGGCATTAGAAAGGTCCCAGATATAGTTAGTGCCTCACTCAGGAGGTAGAAACAGGGGGATCAGGAGTTCAAGGTCATCATCAGCTACATAGCCAGCCTGGGCTACAGTACACCCATCTGAAAAAAAAAAAAAAAAAAAAAAAAAAAAAAAACAAAGCAGGGTGAAAAAGGGTGAGAAGGGTGTTCCTCGCAAAAGCATGTTCTTGCTCATCCTCTCTCAAGTCCCCAGAACTGGGCAGGGTCAGCCTCATGATTAATCGAATCAGACAAATAAGATGGTTCCCACAGGGAGGGTAGCTCCTGCATCCTCATGGTAGGTCAACCATGACTAGGAAGCAGCACATTCTCCCAGCACCCAGGCAGGCTGCTGCTCACTTCCCTTCTGCGTGTAGTTCAAGGCAAATGATTCATTTATTTCTCTTCTGTTCCCATCTCCATTCCACTCCTGCCTACTGCCCCGGGCATTCGCGCCAGCCAGAATGGCAGAGACCCTTGTATTGGCTACCTAGGATGGTATAACAAATGAGCCCAGAACTGAAAAATTAAAGTAATAAACATTTCTGTGTAGCTTTGTAGACCAGGCTGGCTCGAACTCACAGAAATCCTCCGGCCTCTGCCCCCCAAATGTTGGGATTAAAGGCGCGCATCACCTCAGTCTACAGTCTTTTTTCTCCCTTTTTTAAAAATTTATTTATTCGTGTACTTTATGTATATGAGTGCTCTGTCTTCATGCACACCAGAAGGAGGAATCTGATCCCATTATAAATGGTTGTGAAGCCACCATGTGGGTGCTGGGAATTGAACTCAGGACCTCAGGAAGAGCAGTCAGTGCTTTTAACCACTGAGCCATCTCTCCAGCCACACTTCTCTTATTTGTGCATTTATTATTTATCTTTGTGCATGTGTATGTATAACGTGTGCATGTGGACATATGCATGTGCATGCTGTGGCTCCTCTGTGGAGGTCAGAGGACAATTTTCCACTTCCACTTTGTTGAGGCAGGGTCTTTCTTACTTCTGTCGCTGCGTTGTGTCATACTCCAGGCTCCATACTCGTGTGTGCGCACACGCACATGTGCTTATGTAGAGGTAGGAGGACAACACATGGAGTCAGTTCTCTCCTCCCACCGGGCAAGGTGCGCTCAGTTGTGTCAGCGGGAGTTATGTAGTAAGGTTGTTCACATCATGAGAGCTCAGAGCAGCCTTCAGAGACCCACCTTAGTGACCTGTTTCTGCAACTAGACCCTACCACCTCCATTACATTCTAAAACAGTGCCATCAGCTGGGAACCAAGCACTCAAGGCACGAACCTCTGGGGGACACTTTGGATTTAATCGGAACATGGCGGCTGCCTCTTTCTCCATTAAACTGAGGGCAGGGGTCAGCCTGTTCGCTCCACCTGGTTTGTGATGGGTCCATGATGTGGCAAATAGATTTGTCCAAATATGGATACTATGGAAACTTCTGTGCTCAGTGTGACTGGCTGTGGCCTGGGACTGCTGTTTTATTTTGCAGCATCAGGTGGATGGCCAGTACGCCGTGGCTTCTTCCCTTCCGGATCCTCTCCCCTCTGGAGCCTAGAAGTGCCCAGCACCAGTGAGAACTGGCATGAAGGGGATGGATCCTGGAGCCCCAAAGGGGCCAGGTGGTAGCCACACCAAGCCCTGGGGGACACTACTCCTTTTTGGCTTTCCTTGCTGTGTACCTTTGGGGGTGACTCATAAAGCAGGCGGGGCTCCCCAATTGCTATCTCCTCATACAAGTCAAAGAACGTTCTAAAGACTCACCCAACTCCGGGTCACCAAACAAAGACTCAGCTCTATGGCAACGTCACACCCACAGTCTAAGGAGTTACACAGGGAAACTGTGCCTCTAAGGGTTGATCAGCTGGCCTCGTGCCCTCCAAAGAGAGAGGCACAGGGCTTTGTTTGGGCCCAGAGAGACAGCATAGAGTACTAGCTCACCTCAAGCTCTTACCCAGTGGGAGGTGCCCCAGAGCCGTCCCTCTGATCAATCTCACCTGACCCTGAGTCTTCCTACTGCAGAGTGGTTCAATCCCTACCAACTGTGTTGTGTCTCTTCTGACAGGCAGCTAGCCTCCTCCAGAGTCTCAGGAGAGCTTCCTGCATCTACCACCGTAAACTAGGAAGCACTTTCTCATCTGGTCCAGCAGTTAAGCACCTGCCTAGAAACCCCCAGTGAGGGGCTGAGGGTGTGGCTCAGGAGTAGAGCAGCTGTCTAGACTTCCCAGATTACAAGCTGAGCATCCAAGCCCATCTTGCCTTCCTGGTTTTTATTACATCTTCCATAACCCAAGCAGCCCCACCTCATATGGAAAACCCCCATTGTCCAGATACTTTGGGTAGCCTTAGGGCTGTCCATGCCTTGTCCCAAGCTACCTCTCCCATCTTCTTTTTAAAAATTTCAAGATTTTTATTTACCTTTTATTATGTGTGTGTGTGTGTTATGTGTGTGTGTTGGGCATGGCGTGGGGAGGGAGGGCTGGTATGTGCACCTGAGTGCAGCTGCCTTTGGAGGCTGGAGGCGTCCTCATAGGGCTGGAGTTACAGTTGTAAGCCACCACATGCGGGGTTGGGAATCGAACTCAAATCCTCAGCAAGAGTAGTTGGTGCTCTTAACGGCTGAACCCTCTCTCCAGACCCCATGCCTTACTTTCTTGACTGGTGTTTTCACATCCCTTCCTCTTCCAGCTGGTTGAGCACCTCTCAGAGTCAGCAGTGACACCTAACCCCCAACTCCTCCTTCCACACTCACTAAAACCCCCACCACCTCCAGGAAGCCCCACCCCACTCTGGCCAGGTGCCTCCCATAGGCTCCCACTACTGCTCTTGTCCCTATCATGGCGCCGGGCTCCAGGCTCTCTAGGCTAGCTTCAGCTGTGTCTAGTGGAGGGCACCCAGGAAAAGGTGCCGGGGATGTCTGGAGGACCAGTCCCCTCCCCACTACTCCCAGGGTCTCTCCCACTGCCCTGGCTGGCCCCTGTGGCTTAGGAACGGACCCACAGGTGGGATTCCAGGCACAGGGGCTGAGGGGGGTCAGCTAAGCCCAGGGGCTCCATGAAACACTTTGAGAAACCTGGGCTATTTCCACTGAGGAGCATAGAGCGAGGGCTGGAGAGGGAGGGGAAGGGAGAGGCCTGGATGATTGGTGGGACATTCCTCTCGGCCCCTCATTGGAGGGAAGCCAGGCAGAAGAACGGTTGTCAGGGCAACGCATTCTTTTCTTTCTCTTGGACCCTCTGGCCCGTGTCTCTCCTAGGGAGTGGAGTTTCGGATGCCAAGAGAGCAGTATGAGACATCTTCTGGGTTAAATAAATGCTCACCCTCCTTGCACAGGGGGAACGGAACCCAGGATCGGTGGGCAGAGCTTCCTGGCGGGGCTAACACAGCAGATGCCGCACAGAGAGGGGTGTGGCTGTGGTCTTGATCCCATTGCTCCCTCAGGACTCAGAGACCTCTAGGCTGGGCCAAACAGGGAGGGATGGAAGGGAGGTGCAGGGTCAGGGATGGGGTTCAGTAGCTCTGGCTTTCCTGGCTATACCTGTCTGACCTCTGACCTCTAAACCTCATCCACATCACATACCCACATGCTGTTCCTCCCTCCCTCCCCATCCCATTCCTTCTCCCCTCTTTCTCTCAGAACAAGGTCTTACTCTATAGCCCAGGCCTACCTAGAACTGGAAATAATCTTCCTCCTTAAGACGCCCCCCTCCAATGCTAGAACTATAGGCATATCTTCAAGGCGTTTTTTGCTTTGTTTTTCGAGACAGGGTTTCACTCTGTAGCCCTGACTGTCCTGGAACTCACTCTGAAAATCAGGCTGGCCTCTGCCTCCAGACTGCTGGAATTAAAGGCCTGTGCTACCACCATCTGGCCAAACACATTTAAAAAGTATTATTTTATTACATGAGTATGGGTGTCTTGCCTGTGTGTATGTCTGTGTACCACCTGTGTGCCTGGTACCTCCAGAGGTCAGAAGTCATCAGATGCCCTGGAATTGGAGTTAGAGCCACCACGGCGGTGCAGGGTCCTTTGGAGCAGCCAGTGTTCTTAATCACGGAGCCATCTCTCTCCATCCCCTAATACGACTTTTATTGCATGCATTTATTTATCTTGTGTGTGCATGGAGGAAGGGGGCTGTGCACATGCTACAGCACATGTTTGAAGGTCAGGGAACAACTTTAGGAATTTGTTCTCTCTTCCTCGTGTGGGTTCTGGGGACTGGATTTGTGTCCTGGGGCTCGGCAGCAACTGCCTTTAATGGCAGATGAGAGGGTAAGGGAGCTGCATGAGGCGTTCCCACTCTGTGTTCTAACAGCTATGATCTGCTGACTGATGAATCACAGTGCAGTCATACCCCCCAGTCCTGGATGTTTGTTCTTCCCCACAAAGAACTTGTTTCTGACTGATGAGCCATGAAGTTATGGGCCAGTGGGTGTCATGACTCTTCCTATATAGTGTCCTCGGGGATCATTTTTAAAAAGTCATTTAATAAAAAGTTCTAGGCACTGGAGACAGTAGTAAAGTCACTGTCTAGAACCGCCGCCCCCCAGTGAAGGCTGAAGGTATGGCTCAGTGGTTAGGGCACCTGCCTAGAATCCCCCAGTGAGGGGCTGGGGGTGTGGCTCATTGGTAGAGCACCTGCCTAGAATCCCCCAGTGAGGGGCTGGGGTGTGGATTAGTGGTTAGGACCCCTGCCTAGAATCCCCCAGTGAGAGACTAGGGGTGTGGCTCAGGTGTAGAGCACCTGCCTAGTACGTGGGCAGCCCTGAGTATAACCCCTAGCACCACAATAGGGTAATGGTAAAAACGAAATTCTTTACACTGGGTGTGGTGGCTTATATTTGTAATCCTAACACGGGAGGTGGAGGCAGGAAAATCACAACTTTGAAGCCAGCCTGGGTTACATAGCATGACCCTGTCTCAAAAGAAGGGAACAGAAGCAGGCATGGTGACCTACACCTCTAATCCCCACATTCAGGAGGCAGTGACATTCAGGTGTCTGTGAGTTCAAGGCCAGCCTGCTTTACATAGTGAGTTCCAGGTCAGCCAGGGCTACATAGTGAGACATTGTCTCAAAACAAAACACATAAACAAACCAAAAAAGCCTCTTCACAACAGGGTTGGCACTAGAGACCTAAAGACTCATGCCAAGGTTGGTCACCAATGCTGGGGACGTTTGGTGTTCCTGGTGTATGGAACTCTGGGCAGAATGTCCTGCCAGGGTTTGAAGGGGCCCAGCATAGCAGGTACCTGTTCTGGGTAGGACCATTGGATTGTGGCATAGCCTAGGACAGGACATCACCACTGGGTGGCTTCCCACAGTGGCCTCCAGATGACCTGAAGTGGGAATCGGCTGTCACAAAACATTAGCAATTTGCCAACACCCTTGTGCCGCTGACTGGCTACTAAAACAACATTCTCATGGCTGAGTGGGAGCTGTCAGCATTGTGGCCACCCATGTCCGTCACAGCTCTCAGAGAGCTGTGTGCATTCCTTGGTAGTCGAGTTCATTCTGCCCACTGCGGTGTCAACGTTCTGACAGGGTGGGGAAGACATCCCTGGAACGGCCATGAGGCTGTGAAGATGAGTGCCTGAGAGGAAGAGCTGGGCTGTGCTTTCAAGGCCAGTTTTTAATTTTTTACTTTATTTTTATTGTTTTAGACAGGATCTCACTAGGTCACTGTGGCTGCCCTGAAACTTGCTATGGAACCAGGCTGACCTTGAACTCACCTAGTCTCTGCCTCTACCTCCTGAGTGCTGGGATTAAAGGTGTGTGCCATCACACTATGCTTAGTTTAGAAAAAAATATTTTTACTTATGTGTGTGCACACACATGTGCATGTGTGTACAAGTATGTGTGTGCAAACGCTTGTGAGTACCCAAAGATACCTTTAGAGGCCTGGACCCCTGGAGCTGGAGTTACGGGCAGTTGTGAGCTCATGTGGGTGCTTGGAACCAAATGTGGGTCCTCTTGGAAGAGCTTAAGTACTGTTAACTGCCGAGCCAACTTCTCAGCATCCTAACCTTTCTGCAGGGGGGAGGGCACTCTGTGGAGCTTGTCCTCTTCCTTCATCTTTATGTGGGTCCCCAAGATCAAGCTCGGGCTTCCTAGATTTTGTGGCGAGTGTCTTTACAGGCCGAGGCATCCTGCTAGCTCCAAGGCCTGCAAGTGCCGTATGCCGTGGGTTTTGCAAGTGCTGTGGTATGCCGGTGTGCCGTGCTGTAACTCTGCCTGCTTTGAAGGCTCTCCATTTTCTTGCCCCTTTCCTCGGAAGGGACTAGGGAGAAGGGAAGAGCCACAGAAACTTAACCTGAGACCAGAGCAAAAGGGTGGGGGGCGGGAGCGGGGGTACTTGTCTGTGAAGAAAAGCCTTTGGTTTACTTTAAATGCTGGTATATTTTTACAACTTGAAATGTATTGATTTATTTTGTGTGTACGTTTATGGGTTTGTGTGCACCAGGGGGTAAAGGTCAGAGGACACAACTTTTGGGAGTTAGTTCTCTCATTCTACCGTGGAGGGCTTGGTGAACAAACTGAGGTGACAGACAGACTTGGTAGCAAGCACCTTCACCCAAAGAGCCATGTCCCTGTATCTCTGTTGATGTTGGAACAATTCAGGCAGCTGGGGATGTAAATTTCCCTTGGGTCATTGGCAACACCTGCCTGCATGAAACTAGCCCAATGATGGAAAACAAATCTCTGGGCTGGAGCGATGGCTCAGTGGTCAAGAGCACCCACCGGCTGCTCTTGTAGAGGTCTCTGGTTCAATTCCCAGCACCCACATTGTAGCTCATAATTTCCTGTAAGTTCAGTTCTGGGGAATCAACTTCCTCTTCTGACCTCTGTGGACACCAGGCACAAATGTGGTATACGGGAGTAGCGTGTGTGTGTGTGTGTGTGTGTGTGTGTGTATTTATTTATTTATTTATTTATTTATTTATTTGAGACGGGTTTCTCGGGCTGTCCTGGAACTCAGTCTGCCTCTGCCTCCCCAGGGCTGGGGTGTGTGCCACCACCACCCAGCCAAAAAAAAAAAAAAAAAAAAAAAAAAAAAAGACATTTCCTGTATAGCTAGCTGTCACTCTAGTCATTGAGAAAAGAGCATGGTGAGCTTGAGGCCAGCGGCCAGCATGAGCTAACATAACAAGATCATATTTCAAACGCACTCACGCATATCCTCCCGGAACTCCATCATCTGAGAATCTGATGGAACTCTCGCTGGGGTAACACACCCATTTTTGGTGCACAAAGGTCACCATTTTCGAGTGTGTTTGTGTTTGTGTGTGTGTGTGCAATTTTGTGTTTTTGAGGGACAGCCTCAAACTTTGTGTATCTGAGAACGATCTTAAGCTCCTTATCCTCCCGCTTCCATCTTCCCAGCGCTGGCCTCAAAATCACGGTATTTTTCCCACTTCAGGCCCCAACCGCCCCCTACTCCCCCACCTATGCTGCAAAGTCTGCCCTTCCCCATTTTCCTTCCATTCACTCACTACTTTGTAGAGATTGCGATGGCATACCTACGCCCCCGTGTGGCGGAGGCGTGAATCACCACAGTCTTGGCAAAAACCCCGACAGCAAGCCCACAGCACCAGGATCAAGTCTAGGGACCCTTCCCAGGGCTAGCTGATCTTGAGCCCTGTGATAATTCGTTCACCTTAAAAATTGAAACCCGTTACTTATCTGTGTTCGCGGGTGTGTAGGTGGGTGGGGTGCGCACAAGCACCACAGGTGTAGAGGTCAGGGTCAGAGGACAACTTGCCAGAGCCACTTCTCTCCCTCCACGTGCAAACAACTCAGAGCAGGTCAGTCTTCCAGCCCTTCGTTCGTCGTTTAACTCAGCAAACACCAGTGATCCATGGAGACCAGGACTGGTGCTGGGAACGGGTAGGAGTGAGGTTAACCCTCTCCAGGTCTACAGGGCCCTGGGCTCCTGTCTCTTGGAATTTCAAAAGCTGGTCCACGCTCGATGTTTCTCGGGCCAGTGAAGCATTGGGCTGTGTGTAGCTTCTATCACACACCCAGGGGTCGTGTGAATGCTTGGGGTGCGGCGGGATGGAGGATATACTCAGAGACAGGGGCTTATTGGTTGCTAAATAGCTGCCCCTGAAGCATGTGGCCACTCGATCCTGAAATGTGTGTGGGTATCTCTGTGGCTCCAAAAGCACAAGTTGGTGGTGGGCGATCAAAGGATCCACGAGAGACATCGCCGGGATCACGTGTGCTGCACGCTCCTGTCATAGAACCGGCATGGGCAACACTCCTGCCACAGTAACATTTATTAATTTCCAAAGAGCTTTATCACACAGGCCCGACAGGGCATGGGGTAGGAAGCGCAGGCAAGTCAGTGAGCCTCAGGTGTCGCCAACGAAGAGAACCGGATAGCTCTGTGGGCTTGACCTGGCTGAGGCTGGGAATACATGCTTCCCCATCCCTGAAAGGATGGAGCAGGCAGGCACACGATGAAGAGGTTAACAGGCATATGCTAACAGAAGCGTATCGTGGGTCCTGCCGCCACCTGACTACAGAGCACGAGCGCCCCCGAATGGTGATGGCAGGAACTCCCGGCTTTGTCCTGGAGAGCTATTCCTTTGATGGAGTACTGTGGGTCCCAAAGAGCCCACTAATGGTAACTGCGAGACTGTGATGCTGAGGACAAATTGGCATCTCCTCAACAGTAACAGATCTCACAACAGGACATATGTCAGCCTGAGATTCAGAGCAAGGTAGACTCCTCCAAAGTCACAACCAGCCGTGTCTAACACTGTATGTGGCACATAGCAAGTGCTCAATAAATGATGTGGAGCGAGCAGATAAGTGGGGGGCCATCTTTCTTTCTGTGTGTAGAGGGGCTGGGACAGGTAGCCGAGCTGCCATTAATAGCCATTTACACCCTCTCACCTTTACACCTGTGAGTCCTGTCCTTAGAAAGAGCCGGGCTCTAGGGTGGCTCTTCTGCAGACGCATCCCAGCCTCGTGGCTGGGTAGTGCAGAAGTCTGAGCCTTATATGCCTCATGATGGGCCCAGCCCAACCTACTAACTGTAGCAGAGCAAGGCATTCTGGGGTGCAGGGGTGGGGGGAGGGCACTTGTTTTGAGACAGGCTCCTACCCTACAGCCCAGACTAGCCTGGAGCACATGACCCTTCTACTTTAGCCTCCTAAATGTGGGGATCACAGCTTTGTGCTCCCACACCTATCTCCTCCTGGATCTCTGAAGGTCAGGGTGGACTAACCACCTCCTCCAGCCTTACATGAAGGAAGTTAAGCAGAACCCAACCTGACCAGGACCCTCTCCAAATGTACTTACAGACAGAGGCTTAGCAAGGGACAGAACCAGAAGTAGAAGAACAAATAGCCAGACAGCTATAGGGGCTGTGAGGATGCAAGACCCCCCCCAGGGCCCATGTCCCTGCTCTCTGTCCCTCACCCCAGGCCCAAGCTGCAGACACCAAACTATGGGCTGAGACTGGGAAGGGGGTCCAGGCTTGGCTCACAGCCCACCGGCAGTGTGGCAGCCTCGCTGGGGGGGATATGGTGTGTCATGTAGCGTTTTCCCATGAAGGAGCCAATGCGTAGCTGCTCAGGGACTTCCTCGGGCCACCACAGGCTGGAGCTGCACAGGACAGAAGAGGAGGAGGAACACATTACATCCCTACCCAGAAGCTGCCATGTGACAGCTGTGTCCCCTTCCCCAGCATACTCACCCCTCGGCCTGTCCCCTCACCTGCCTTCTTTTTATTTGGTATACAAAATGTGTAGTGTATATGTGCACATGGGTTCACATGTATGTGTGTGCACATGGGTTCACATGTATGTGTGTGTGCACATGGGTTCACATATATGTGTATGCACATGGCTTCATATGTATGTGCATGCATGTGGCTTCACATGTATGTGTGTGTGCATATGGCTTCACATGTATGTGTGTGTGCATATGGGTTCACATGTATGTGTGTATACACATGGGTTCACATGCATATGTGCATGCACATGGCTTCATATGTATTGTGTACGCACATGGGTTCACATGTATGTGTGTGCATGCACGTGGCTTCACATGTTGTGTAAGCACATGGGTTCACATGCATGTGTGTGCACACGAATGTGCCTATGTGGGGGCCAGTGGTTGAGTTGGGTGTCTTCCTCCATCGCTCTATACTTGATCTGTTTTGTTTAATTTGTCTGTTGAGGAGGGTGCACATGCCACAGTGTGTGTGTGTGTGTGGAGGGCGGAGAGAGGGCAACCTGCAAGAGTCTATTCTCTCTGTCCACCATGTGGGTTGCAGAGATAAAACTCAGCGACTTCCAAGACATCACCTTTACCTGAAATGCTTAAAGACTGGCTGGCACAGTTTCTAAGAAGCCACCTCCCCCTGGGTTAGGTTACAGACATGCACAACCACATCTGGAGTTTTGTGGCGCTGGGGCTCTGAACCTGGGTCCTTTTGGTGCAGTGAGCCCTATACTTACTAAACCATCTCCTTGGTCTCTCTTCCCCCTGTTTTGGAACCAGCTGGAGAGGTACCTCCTCCAGTAGCAGTTACCAAAACACTCCAGGGGCTCATGGAGAAAAGATAAAGACCAGGGGAAGAGGCCTGCCTGAACCCTATCTTCGGGTGAGCTACTGTCACCTAGGTAACAGGCAGAGTGGAAATTCCCTCCACTGCCTGGAAGGACATCAGCTAGCTCAACACCCCTGTTCACGAGAGGTTTCTGGGATATAGGGATCATCAGGACAGGGAGGGGGTTCCAAATGGAAAAGGTGCCCTCGGGTGTCATCACTCACAATCGCATGGTGGAGGCCGCCAGGAAAGCCAGGAGCAAGAGGCCGGCCAGTGCCGAGAGGATGGAGGTTATGACAATCATACAGCCGCTCCGCCGGCCGGGCCATGTGTCAATGGAGCTGGGGGCCTTCCCTGAACACATAGGAATCATTCAGAGGCTGTCCCTCCACCCAAGGCTGTCTGTCCCTCCCCATTCAAGTTCAATGCACTGCAAGGCTTAGCTCAGAGTCTCTTGAGCATATCTATCCTGTCTCCACCCACCTGGGTCAGCCATTGTTCCAAGTTCTCCTACACTGGAGTCACCTTCTAGACTATTCCTTCCAATTGCCCATCACTACCCACATGCAGCAGGCAGCTCTCAGGACTGGACTTGTCATCATGTTGGTCCCTGCCTTCAGATGACAGTCATCTGTCACCACACCCGATTGCCTTGGTAGCCTGTCTCTGAGGCAATCCCCACCCCAACACTGGCCTCTATGGGAAGATGACCCTTGGGCCCTTCTCCCTGCGTGCAGTAGAAAGAACCTGGGGCTGATGAGGCAGGGGCTGGGCAGCTAAGCAAGGGTTGGCAGATGATGAGATGGGACTGGTGTTGCACGTCTGTAACCTCAACTACCTGGAAAGATGAGGCAGGGGATGTCAAGTACAGACAGGCCAGCCTGGGCTGCAGAGACCCTATCTCAATATATAAAGTAAAAAGGGGGCTGGGGTGTGGCTCAGTGGTACAGCCCCTGCCTAGAATCCCCCAGTGAGGGGCTGGGTGTGGCTCAGTGGTAGGACACTTCCCTGGCATGCATAAGATTCAGTGTCTAGTACTGAAAACAAAACCCAAAAAAAAAGGTTTGGTGCCACTGTGATGGATCTGACCCAGGTCCCACTCTACAGTATGAGGCTCAGGTAGGGTTTAAATCAGTCTTGGATCCCTCACCCCAGCACTACCTTGGTGGAGATAAATGGGAATAGACCACTTCGTCTCAGCCTTGGGTGAGCCGCTGGCATCCATCAGAAGGAACTTCACGCTGGAAAGCAATGGAGACAAAAGTAAGACTTGAATGACTCAAGCTGGGCATAGTGGCACAGGCCTGACATCCCAGGTAGTCTGTGGGCTGAAGGAAATCCTAAGTTCAATGCCTACCTGACTACATTGCAAGACCTTGTCTCAAAAATCAAAGGTTAAAAACATGTTGAGGATTCAGCTCAGTGGTAGAGCACCTGCCTAGAGTGGTTTACAATAAAACGAAAGTATTGGTCTATGGAGTCTATGGAAGGCACCATGTGACAAGAAGGCAGATCTCAAGTTAAGAGTCCTAAGGCAAAGGCACAGGGGTGGGGCCAGGGGTGTGGTCAGGGCCTGCTGGGAGCTTTGAGGGCCTGGACAGCAGGGATGGGGAGGACTTGGCACAATGGTATCTTTCAGGAGTGGAAGGGAACATGGTGGGCCCAGTAGAGTAGACAGAGGGAACACAGCACTGGTGGCTGATGGGAAAGGGGCGGGGCAGCAGCTGTGAGGAAGGCACCACTGCGGGCATTGGAAATGGACCAGGGGTAAGCTGGATGGACAGAGATGCCATCTCCTGAGACTGCGTCCCGCAGTCTGGGCTCCCACTGTTGAGTTTCCCCAGGGACACCTGGGATCTTCATCTCATGATGGACACTGAAGAGAACCTTGTTTGAACTCTAGCACAATGGGCCTCAGTTTCTTCCTCTGCAGTATGGGTTGGGAAGTCATATATTCTGTCAGATTTGCTTACAGCCAGAAACAGTGGCCTCATCCTGAAACCCACTTTCCCCTCTTGGGGCACATTTGGAAAGGACTCTCTTTTTCCTTTCTTTGGGGTTGAGTCTCATGTAGCCCAGGCTAGCCTTGAATTCAATACACTCCTGGCTCTGCTGCCAGAGGTGAGAACCTCTTGCGTGCTGGGATTCCCGGCATACACCGCCACTTCTGGTGCTGGGGTGTGGTGCTGGGATGAAACCTAGGGCTTCATACATACAAAATAAACACTATCAACTGAACTACATCCACAAAAGGCCTGGTGACCTTTTGTTTTAACAAGGTCTTCCTGTAGCTTGCCTCAAACTCATTGTGTAACTGCAGCCAGCCTTGAACACACGATCCTCCTGTCTCTGCCTTCAGAGTGCTGGGATCACATGAGTTTATGGAAAGGTCTTTTTGATGCCCTACTATGCAAAGGAAATAAACTACAGCTAGCACAGGGAAGGAGCTATGACTGGCCAGCATCCAGAATGCCCAGAAGGGGCAGAGTCTGAATCCTAGTCCAAGCAGTTCCTCCTCCTTCCCTGAAACACTCATTCCCAGAGCAGGAGCTCCTGATAACCCACCTGTAAGGCCCCTGGCTGGGGAGGGGAGCGTTGCAATAGGGCTTCTGGTAACAGCCGACATCATTGCCCACCCGAAGCACGGGGATACCGCCACTGCCCCCTGTCAGGTCCTCACAGGGCAGCTGATCCAGGGAAAGGGGTAATGTCATATAGTAGCCATCAGTCAGCAGCTGTGGGGAGGTTGGGATCTCAGCAGGGGTCTCTGGGTTCTGGAAGTCCCTGGAGGCTGGAGGAAATAGGGTCAGAGAGAGGCAAGAGCAGGGGCCATGGATGTAGTTGTGTTAAGTATACTAATACAGAGGGATGGCTCAGTGGCTTGCTGATAAAGGCACTTGCTGCCAAACTTGATGACCTGAGTTTGATCCCCATGTAGTGGCAGGAGAGAAATGACTCCCCGAAGCTGACCTCTGAATTCCACGTGAACACCCCTGGACTGACACATACGAAAAGCAATTATCTTAAAGGAATAGAGAGCAGCTGCTTGCTTCTGTCCCAGGATGCAATCTGCAGAGGGCATGGCTTGATTTCTCCAGGTGACATGATATCTCATGACTTCTCAGTATGTGGGTCATGACCCCTTCAGGGGTGGAAGGACCCTCTCACGGGAGTCACATGTCAGATACTCTGCATATCAGATGTTTACATTAGGATTTGTAACAGTAGCTATGAAGTAGCAATGAAATAATGTTATGGTTGGGGTCACCACAGCATGAAGAACAACAGTATTAAAGCGTTGCAGCATTGGAAAGGTGAAGAACCACTGTCCTAGAGCGACCAGTGTCTCAAAAGGGCAAGCTGTGGTTTAACACTCATTGGTAGAGCATTGCCTAGCAATGCACAAACCCTGGGCGTGGTTGTGCATACCCGCCATTCCAGAACCTGGAAGGTGGAGGCAGCAAGACAAGAAGTTTAAGGCCTTCCTCCTGGGTTACAGGAGAGCCTGCCTCAAAAAAAAAAAAGTCCCTGTTGGCCCTGAAAGATTTATTTTACCCACCTTGGGCTGGCCAGTCTCCAGCCCTGACCCCCATACCCAGAGACAAAGTCAACATTGCCATCCTCCAAGAACCCCAGGGCTCCTCTCAGCCTACGCCCCTCACCCCAAGACCCCAGGTCCTCACCACACACCATTGCTGAAAGCCACCACTAGCCAGATGGTGTCATTGGCTGAGGCACGTTCATCAAAGACGCACCGAGGCTGCTCCAGACAGAATGTGGTGGCTGTGACCTTCCCTTCCAGGTCCCAGGCTGTTATCTGTGGCTGGTAGGGTATCAGGCCTATAGCCATGGGGGACAAAGGTAAGAAGAAAGATACACATGGCCATTCTGTACGCCTCCTCTCCCCCAACCCCTTCCTCAGTTCCAGGTACCCAAGTCCAAGGGCATCCGTGTCCACTCACCCAGACTTAGGCTTTCGGAGGGCCATATCAGCACCAGGAGGAGCAGGGGCAGGTGAGGCTGCCTCCCATTGAGCCTCATGACTGCTGCAGCAATGACCTACAGCAGAGGCAGGCTCAGGGGCTGACCCTGTTACACCCCACCTCCAACACCTCTGGCCTACAGTTGCTGGCTACTCGGGCTGCCAGGAGAGCAGGAAAGACCTGAAAATATGAATTCACCCCTTCCCCCCCCCCCCCAGTGCATCCAGCCCCAGCCCATCGAGGGGAGGGGCTAGGTGGACTCCTGTATGGGCTCTGCTTCGTAACTATGGGAAAGAGACCATTTTTAGGATAGGCTTTCACATGACCTCCAGCCACCCCCATCCCAGAGCTGATGTCTGTAGTATCACCTAATTCCCTGCCCCTAGGAGGGAGCCCCCCTTCTCTATCTGGGCCCAGAACTACATGCCTGAGATTCCTGAACTCTGGGTGCCAGGAGCCACCCGCTGACCATCCGTCCCCACCCAGGAAGTGAAGAGAGGGGAGCAAGACTAGGGTAGTCTGGCCCTGACCTGCTCCAGCCCCAAAGCAGCTCCCGGACACTGTGTGCTCCGTGGAGCCTCCTCTTCCCCAGCTCTGAATCTCCATGTCCTTCTCCAGGGGAAGAACTTGACCCCCAAAAGGACGGAACAGCCTTTAAGGACTGGTGAACTTTTCACTTGAGTCTCATTCTATGTCGTTCTTAAACTTGTTATTTATCTATTTAGGTTTTTCAAGACAGGGTTTCTCTGTGTCCTGGAACTAGCTCTGTAGGCCAGGCTGGTTTCGAACTCACAGAGATTCTCCTGCCTCTGCCTCTTGAGTGCTGGGATTAAAGGTGTGCACCACTGCCCTGCTTGTTTATTTTTGAGACAGTCTCATGTAGTCCAGGCTGGCCTCAGACTCACTACTAACAGAGGATGACCTTTGAACTCTTGAAGCTTCTGCCCTCACTTCCCAACCGCTGGGATCACAGCTGGGCACCGCAGCTTCTGGTCTGTGCAGTCAGTGCTGGGGCAGAAAGAACCCAGGGCTTTGTGCATGTTCTCTGCCAACTGAGTGACACCCACAGCCCTTACCCTACATATTCGTTTTTCCTTTAAAACTCTCGTTTTACATACTAGGCCCAGTTCCCCCTCCCTTCCCTTAGCACTTCCCCACCCCAATGGGAGTTTCCCCTCCCGCCTCTCCTCCCACTCCCTTCTTCCCTTCTCCCCCCCTCCTCCGCTCCCCCAATCCACCGCTCCTGTTTCTGTTCAGAAAAGGGCAGGTCTCCCATGGGTGGGTATCAACAAAACATGGCACATCAAGTTCCAGTAAGACTAAAACCTTCCCTTGTATTAAGACTGGCCAAGGCAATCCAGTATGAGGAATTGGGTCTCAAAAGTCAGCAAAAGAGTTAGAGAGAGCCCTGGCGGCCACTGTTAGGAGTCCCACAAGAGGAACAAGCTTTACAACTGCAACATTCGCTGAGTGCCTAGGTCAGTCCCATGCAGACTTTCTGACTGTTGGTTCATTTACATATATGTAAATATACACACACACACACACACATATATATACACTTACCTTATCTCATATATATCACATACTTATTACTTATTTCACACACACCACACACACATATATATCAGTATCATACATACTGCTACAAGACCCACAGGTCAGTGACGTGTGTGTGTGTGTGTGTGTGTGTGTGTGTGTGTGTGTGTACGCGCGCACACATGCTTGTTTTTGAGACAGGTTTTGCTAAGAATCTCTGGCTGGCTTGGAACTCTTGCTATGTAGTCCAGGCTGGCCTTGATCTTCTGATCCTTTTGTCTCACTCTCCCAAATTCTGGGAGTCAGGGGTACACTAGTATGCCAGCATGTATGTGCTGTTTTGTTTGCTTTTGAAGACCTGAGTTGGTACACAAGGACCTCGCATGTGTTAGGCAACTGTGCTGAGTGTGGTCCCCTAACTATAAAAAAAGGATTAAAAAATGGTATTTATAAAGTTTCACAGCCATCAGTACTAATGTCAAATCCCTTTTATCATCCCAAATGGGAAGACTGCCTTAAATACTCCCTCCTCAGCCCCCCCCCATCTACCAACTCCAGATTAAATACTCCCTCCTCAGCCCCCCATCTACCAACTCCAGATTAAATATTCCCTCCTCAGCCCCCCATCTACCAACTCCAGATTAAATACTCCCTCCTCAGCCCCCCCATCTACCAACTCCAGATTAAATATTCCCTCCTCAATCCCCCCCATCTACCAACTCCAGATTAAATACTCCCTCCTCAGCCCCCCATCTACCAACACCAGATTAAATATTCCCTCCTCAGTCCCCCCCCATCTACCAACTCCAGATTAAATATTCCCTCCTCAGCCCCCCATCTACCAACTCCAGATTAAATATTCCCTCCTCAATCCCCCCCATCTACCAACTCCAGATTAAATACTCCCTCCTCAATCCCCCCCATCTACCAACTCCAGATTAAATATTCCCTCCTCAGTCCCCCCCCCCATCTACCAACTCCAGATTAAATATTCCCTCCTCAATCCCCCCCCATCTACCAACTCCAGATTAAATATTCCTTCCTCAGCCCCCCCATCTACCAACACCAGATTAAATATTCCCTCCTCAATCCCCCCCCATCTACCAACTCCAGATTAAATATTCCTTCCTCAGCCCCCCATCTACCAACTCCAGATTAAATATTCCTTCCTCAGCCCCCCATCTACCAACTCCAGATTAAATATTCCCTCCTCAGTCCCCCCCCATCTACCAACTCCAGATTAAATATTCCTTCCTCAGCCCCCCATCTACCAACTCCAGATTAAATATTCCCTCCTCAGCCCCCCATCTACCAACTCCAGATTAAATACTCCCTTCTCAGCCCCCCATCTACCAACTCCAGATTAAATATTCCCTCCTCAGCCCCCCATCTACCAACTCCAGATTAAATACTCCCTCCTCAGCCCCCCCATCTACCAACTCCAGATTTACCTTCTGTCTGTCTATGCTTTGACTATAACAGACATTTTATAGCAGTGGGCTTTATTGTTGGGTTAAAGTAGTAAAGACTAAAGATAGGATTTAGAGTATTCCAGGCAAACATTCCACAAAGCCATCCCCTCAGCCATCTTTCCTTCCTATCATCTAGGTATTCTTCTATCTAGCTACCTATCATCTGTCTGTCTGTCTATCTGTCTATCTATCATCTATTTTTAGTGATGGGGACCAAACCCATGCCCTTGCTAGGCAGGCACTCTACTACTTGAGGGTTAAGTGTGCATACTGTTCTTGCAGAAAGCCTGAGTCCCGTTCCCAGCGCTCACATTTGATTATTCACAACCACCTGTAATTCCAGCTTCAGGGCATCCAATGTCTGACATCCACATGGTCACGGACTGTAAAGCACTCAGATCTTTTGCATGAGGCTTTTCCCTCCGTCCAAAAAGCAATGAACTTAAGAACATGTCCAAAGTGGGGTGACTGTCATGTACCTGAAACATTGTCATGTGATCGATCGATTGATTGACAGTGCAACTCAAAACCAACAGTTGCAACCCTCAAGTTCAAGGAATTGTCAGATCAAACTTTAAAACAAAAAGAATTCTGCTGGGAATTGGACCCAGGGGCCTCCTGAATGCTAGGGGAGTGATATCCCACCCCTCTCTTTTCATTTCACGGCCCAGGCTGGGCCTTAAACCCACCCTGTAATCAAAGCACATCCTTGAACTTGCAATCTCCTGCTCATGAAGCATAGTGCTGGTGGGTCTGAGTCTCCAGGCCTGGCTAGTGCCAAGCTTATTCTTAATTTTATTCTTATTTATTGTTCATTATATTTGTTTATGCATGGGAGGAGGGGTTTGTGCCTTGGTGTGTGTGTGGAGGTCAGAGGTCATCTTGTAGTAGTTCCTCTCTTTCCACAAGGTGGGACCTAGAGATTGAACTAGGGTCATCATCAGGCTTGGTGGGAAATGCATGTACTCAGAGCCATTTTGTAGGTCCCTTAGCTTATTTTTATGAGACAGGTCTATGTTATTCAGTTTGCTTTTTTAGCCCTGGCTGTCCTGGAATTGGCTTTGTAGACCAGGCTGGCCTCAAACTCACAAAGATCCGCCTGCCTCTGCCTCCCGAGTGCTGGGTTTAAAGGTGTGCGCCATCACCGCCCCGCTGTTAGCTGTCATTCAGTATCTTAATTAGGGTTTCTATCGCTGCAATAGAATGACCAAAAGCAGGTCGGGAGGAAAGGGCTTATTTCAGCTTACAACTCGGGTGGGAACTCAAAGGCAGGCACCGAAGCAGAAGCCATGGTGGGATGCTGCTTACTGAGTGGTGTCTGCTGGCTTGCTCAGTCTGCTCTTATACAGTCCCGGACCACACACCCAGGGATGGCATTGCCCACAATGGGCTAGGATCTTTCACAGCGATCATGAACCAGGTGTTTTTTCAGTCCAGGTTCCAAATGTATCTAGCTTTTGTCAAGTTGACAAAAACAGTCACCACCACCAGAAAAACCAACCAGAACACCCAGGCTGGCATGGGACCGGGATGTGGGGTCCTCCTGCCCCAGCTTCTGAATACAAGCCACGCCATGTTGCCTGGGTTCTTTATCTGGCATCTTTGCAGGGCTCACACACCATTGCTTCACCCGTTTACGATGAATATCCTAAACCAGACTTGTTTTTCACAGGCAGCTGGGGATTTTAGGGTGTTTGTACTTTTTGCCTATTAGGAACATTGCTACACATATTTGCATACAACTTTTTTTTTTTTTTTTTTTTTTTTTTTTTGGTGAGGGCATGTTCCCGTAAAATAACCCTCTGTAGATCCCTGGGAATGAAAGCAGTTATGTGGTAATCTTGTTTTTGAGGAGCTGTTGCCCAAAGTGGCAATGCTTTAGATGCCCAGCAGCAATGGGTGAGTGGCAAATGTCCCCACCCAGAACTTTAGCAGTTACATTTGATGGATTGGATTCATGTTTGTTTTTGAAATAACTTACTCTATATCCTTGTGTTGATGACTTCCCTGCCTTGTCCCCTGGAGGGTTGATGACAGCTTGCCCCAGTGCCTGGTATGCAACTGTTGGTTTTGAGTTGCACTGTCAATCAATCGATCGATCACACGACAATGTTTCAGGTACATGACAGTCACCCCACTTTGGACATGTTCTTAAGTCCATTGCCTCATGCAAAAGATCTGAGTGCTTTACAGTCCGTGACCATGTGGATGTCAGAGACATCGGATGCCCTGAAGCTGGAATTACAGGTGATGTGAATAATCAAATGTGAGCGCTGGGAACGGGACTCAGGTTTTCTTCAAGAACAGTATGCACACTTAACTGCTGGGCCATGTTCCTAGACCCTGTCCATTATTATTATTGTTTTTAAATTTATGTGGGTATATGTGTATGCATGTATAAAAGAGGGCATGGGCTCTCCTGGGGCTGGAGTTACTCGTGAGCTGCCCAACACGCGTGCTGGAAATCAGAGCTGGGCCCTCTGGAAGGGCAGGACGTGCTCTTAACTGCTGAGCCTTCTCTCTAGCCCCACCTACACACCCTCATCCATTTTTGGGTTTTTGCTGTTGCATTCTAAGTCTCTTCTCTGGATATACTCCCTCATCAGGAGATTTGTGCCGTCTTCTCCTTGAGTCTTGCTGACCTTCAGTGGCAAAGCTTGAAGACTCCATGAACGTCCCAGAGGGTGACCAAGTTTGGGGATGCATCCCAACTGCTATCCTGAGGATTGGAATGAATCACAAATGTGGTCTGGAGTGCAGCTCTGCGAAGGCAATCAATGACCTTTTCCCCAGGGTTAACTTACATATGTCTTAGGCTCACAGCATTCTTAGAGCCACATACAAATGTTCTTATACAATCCAAAGAGGAAGAGGAGGAAGGAAGAGTTAAGAGCCAGATGTGGGGGAGCTCTAAGAGACGCTGTCCTCTGGACATAACACGGTCATTGGACTCATGAAGCCACAGCAGCTGTGGTGACCTAGCAAACACTCTATCACAGACAGGGAAGGGTGTGTGAGGCTCTGCCCCACCTGAGGAGCTACAGGCAGTGACTGCAAGGGGACAGGGAGTCACGTTTTTCCCAGTGGTACAGCCAGTGCTATATAGCCACGTTCCTGTAGTCCCTGTCCATGTTGGTGCAAGCAACTCTACTGGAATTCAGGAGCTCACGGAAGCAAGGAAATACAACGGGGAGAAGTGGAAGGGTAATAGGAAGTGAAAATAACCAAAATAAGGGGAAAAGAACCTGTCGGGTGATGTACACCTGTAATCCCAGCACCGAGAAGGCTGAGGCAGGGATCACATGGTTTAAATAGTGAGACCCATCCTCAATAACCAGGACCTTAGAGGATGGCCTCCGAAGGTCCCTGCCCAGTCCCCATACCTCTGAGCATCCTCATCACATGGAGACAGCATAAAGAGCCTTTGTAAGGGAGGCTATGGATTAATAAGGGGTGTCAGGGCCGCAGTGCTGGGACCATACAGCAAGGAGTGTCTGTGACAAGGGTCTCACTGCTGAGCTTGATAGTTTTTGTTCTCACTTCCTAGATGGGACTTGAATGAGCACCAAGGAAGACAGCTTCCTGTTCCACAAAGCAAGCTGTGTGTGCCATACAAAAGGTCATCTCTCTCTCTCTCAATACACACACATACACACATGCATACGTGCGCGCGCGCACACATACACACACACACACACACTTTCCCACAGGTACATGTTGGCTATAGGGTCTTTATTGCAAATAAAATCTGAGGTATGAGAAGCTGACCAGAAGCTGGGAGGGGTAGCCCCTGCTCACCCCTTGCTGGGTCACCAGCCCACCTGAGGCTGGAAGGGCCCTTCCCACCTGTGCACTGAGGTAGCTCCAGCTTAAGCCTCCACAAGTACAATACTGAGGGTGCCCATTTTCCAGGCAGACCCCAGCCCAGTCAGGAGGGCGGCAGGAGAGGCAGGGAGAAGCCCCAGCTTTAGGAGGGGCGCATCCTGCACCCCAACAAACATTCTTGCCTCTCAATAAAGGCACACCTTCCTGCCCACCCACCCAGGGGCTGTTGGGGAGGTCGACAGAGGCAGGCCTGAAGGATCACTGCTGCTCCAGGCAGTCCTCGGTTACTCCCTGGGCAGCCAGCTCCGCCAACACGTTCTGTAGGTAGTTGGGGTCTGGATAGCCATGGCCTGTCAAGTTCCGGTCCATCTCGGTCTTGTGGTGGATCTCATTCCACACTACTGTGTCTGTCTCACCCGTGGTATTGGATGTCCCCACAGTAAAGATGAGTCGTCTCTTCCAGGCCACCTTCAGGAGCTCCAGGACCTACCGGGGAGAGGGGAAGGGGGGGGCCCTTAGACAGCCACTGCGGCTCTGCCCTGCCACACAGCCCTTGGCCCATGAGGTGTCCCACACAATCTTAGACACTGAACCACAAGTATAGGGCTCTCTGGAGCACTTTACATCAGCCTTGGCCCAGCCTCACCGTCTCCATTTTGGCACTGGCCTTGAGGTAGCCTTCCCTCCGAATGTGGCTGGACCAGCTGCTTCCTGCTCTCATCACAGCCCCCACATATAGCTTGGGGCAAGGAGTGGAAGTCAGTAGTAGAGGGCTTGCTGACAACTCCAGCTCAGCAGGGACAGAGATGAAGATGGCAGCAAGATGGCAGCAGTAAGCTACACAAACCTGATGGCCCAAGCTTGATGCTCAGGACCCACCCAATGGAGAGGGAAAGAATAGACCCCAGAGCCATCCAATGATTCCCGCATGAAAGCCACGCATGGCCCTCACAGCCCTACATCCCCACCCCCACATAGAGGGAAAGATAACTAGAGTCCAGCCCATCACCCAGGAGCCAGATGGCTCTTGGCACTCCCTCTGAAGGAGGCATAGCCTCGCCATGCAGCTGAGGATGCCTCTGAACTCTTGCTTCTGCCTCCACCCACCAGGGCTGACACTGTAGGAATGTGCTCGGTTTATGGGGAGCTGGGGACTGAACCTAGGGCTCTGTGTACGCCAAGCAAGCCCTCCACCAGGCAAGCCACACCCCAGCAGACAGGAGCCCCACGTGTTGTGGCTTCAGAGCACCTGATCTGTGGCAATCTGGAGCTTCCTCATCCTCAGGCTTGGGGCCCGCCCTTCCCCAGGCCCATCTCTAAGCCCCACATCATCTTCCTAGCCTCCATGTCGCTGCTGAGGTCCCAGGCTGGCGGGTATCCCCAGTCTCTTGGGGGCAGGGAGGGAAGCTCAGTGTCCTGACCCAGCATGAACCCTAACTCTCCTCTAGAGCTGCTGTAAGGTCATGTCTCCTAACACGGTGGGTCCCTGGTGAGAGGGCAACAGGGATTTACCTTGCGGCCTTGCGGGTTATCTGGCAGGTAGCACTGACGGGGAAAGCCCCGGGCTGTGAACGGCTTCCCAGGGCTGGGGTGCTCCGGTCCCTGTGAGAGGAATGCAGACAACTTGATGGCAGCCGCAGCTCACAGGCCATGGAAGCCCCACCCCAGCCTAGCCTTCTAAGCTGGGTCCACTTCTGTGCCAACACTCAAAGTCAGTGTGGCCTCCCAGCCATGGCCCCTGTCTATAACCTGTACCCAACGGCCTGGCAACTTCCTCTTTCCTAAGGACACTGTAAACTCTGCCAGGGGCAAGGACGGGCATTCCTACTTCTCTTGCCTCTCTTCACAAACCCCTGAGCGAGCACGGGGAGCTCAGTACTGGATCCCTCAGGGTTAGGGTCCTGGCCCACCCTTCAGCCTTCCCGCCCTGTACCCTACCACCCGCTCGCACACTCATGAGCCCCCGACACAGTGCTCTTCATGCTCTTCGGTCCACACCACACGAGCTCAGACGTCTCCGCCTGTGGAGAGCCTTCCCTCACTCAGAGAAGGGCCAAAGGACACCTCTCTTACTTCCATTACCCAACCCCCAGCGCTCCTCCAGGCAGGGCGGCCCTGGTCACTATGCTGGGTACAGATGCTGAGAGTACAGTGCAGGAAGAGTGATGTGATGCTCAGGAATGGTGACTTGGCCAGGTCCCTGGCGGGGGGCTGGCCCTCACCTGGATGCCGTGAGGGATGTTGTAAACAATGAGTATAGTCCCGCAGTCTTCATGGCCTGGGAGAGACACTTGGAACCTGAACACCTCCATCTTTCCCCACGGCTGCGTTCCAGTCTTCTCCCCATAGATGGTTTTGCAGGATGGACACTGCAAACTCCCATCCTAGAGAGGGCAGATGAGATAGCCTGAGCTAGCAGCTCCCAGCACATTTCAACAGCCATGTCCAGATGGCAGAGGGGGTCAGCATGCTTACTCTGGCCCCCACACAGCCTCTCCTCACAGAAACTGGACCTCAATGGTGTACTGTAGAGGCTAAACCATGCATCACAAACCTGATTCTCACTCAAATGACGAGATGCCAGGAGACTGGCACATGGTAGGAAAATGAGGGTCAGTCTCTAGTCACCTTCACAGACCTCCCTGCACAAGGCTGCCATGAAATGTACAAGGAACATTGGACCTCAACAACCGTGTGACTTGGTCCCCCCTCCCACAGGCCCACCTCTGACTAAACTCCTCCACAAGACAGCAGCTGGGTCAGCTGCTGGGGGCCCGAGTCAGACTCTCCCTGTGAGATGTGGCCTGGAACCTGCAGTCGGGAGTGGGATAGGACCCTAGACAGAGTCCTAAGGATTTTTTGTTTTTATCTAGCTAATTATTTATTAATGTGTGTGTTTCCATGTATGCACATGCATCTGAAGGCTAGAGGACGTCTCCTTCCACCTTTACATGGACCTGTGTATGAAAGCTCCTCTACCTGCTGAGCTATTTTATTTGCCCTGTTTGTTTGTCGAAGATCTTAAGCAGCACAGGATGCCCTCGCATTCCTGAGCCTTTGACATCAATCTCCTAAGTGCTGGGAAAGCAGGTGTCCATGTACGGTGCCCTGAGCTTCTTCATCTGTACATGGCTGACTACTCAGGACTGCCATAGAAAGATAGGAAATACATGGAAGTGGTAGTGTAGGAGATACAGCCCTAATGCTCAGAGGAGCCTAGGATCCCTCCCGGAGGTAAGCCGGAGGGAGTCATGTACTCAGACCTGTTGGCCATACTCCTACAGCTTGGGGTGGGCCTCAGGGACCCGGACGTGCATTCAGGAACATCTCTAAGCCTTTGGCTCTTTTCCTGGTGCTGGGAACCTAGGGCAAGCACTCTACCTATGTCACACCCCAGCCCCTCACTGGGGGATTCTAGGCAGATGCTCTACCACTGAGCTATACTCCTGGCCCAGCCCCTCACTGGTCTAATCCATGCTTTCAACCCCACAGCCCAGCATCTGCCCTTCAGCCTGCTACTATACTAGCATATCTTGGGCTACTTCTTTGTTTGGTTTTCTTGAGACAGACAGGCCTAGAACTTATGCTTCTACTGCCTCAGCTTCCCAAGTACTGAGATTACAGGTATGTGACACCATACCCAGAGGCGGTAGGCCCAAAATGGGCTGCGAGGACAGGTCACCACAGCCCCACCCAGACCTGTGAGTACCTTGTTCCCATTGCAGTACATGGCCAGTAGGCACAGCAGGTGGAAGGTGTGGCTGCACTTGCTGAGGCGTCCCACAGCCATGGGCCCAAGGGTCCTGCTGTCAGTCACATCGCTGTACCCAGAAGCCACAGCCAGTTTCTCCATACAGATGATGCAGTCCTGCAGGGAAGGCACACAGCACACACTTGCTAGTACACACACCACAGCAATGCACACGCTGATACTGAGCCCCTGGGAGCCAGTGCAGAGGTGGAGGAGGCAGAGTCCCAGCTCAGTCAGATGAAGGTTATGCCAGGCCACCAAAGTCAACCCGGCAACTGTTCTACAACAGGACCACAGCACCATCTCCCACCTACGTCCTTGAAGGGCTGACCAAAAAACACAGGCCACGAGGCAAAAAGAACAACCCAATGGTCTCACTAGAGACAAGAGCCAGAGAGGAAAGTGTGTCCCTTGGACAAGGCCACCTTGTTCCCTCAGAAAGCTGGCCTGACACAGCAAGTCAGTCATGCCTACCCCACAGGTCAGAGGGGAAAGCACACCGCTCAGGACTTCAGCTTGGCCATGTGGTGAGAATGAGCTCTGGCTACCTCATCTTGGTAGTGTCTATCCACCCATGAAAGGCTGGAGCCAACACCAGGTCCTGGAGCACAGTGCCAGCCTCCTCCAGGCCCTGAGGGCTGGGGTCCTCCTCCCAGGACACATACCTCATCGGGGGCTATTTTCAGCTCCTCAGTGTACTTTCTGATCACGTGCTCTGGATCAGGCTTAGGCGTCCCTTCTGGAAGAGAGCAAGATGTGAGTGCTGTCCCAGGCATGCAAGGTGGGGAGTGCAAGGCTGAGGAGGGGAGCAGGCAGGTAGGCAGGCAGAAGTCCCAGCTTCGAGGAGCAAACGTTAGCAGGGCTGAGACAGGAAAGTTAGCTCGAGAGACAGGGCAGCCTCCAGTGCAGGCACAGGATGCCGACACCCCACCCAGGCCACCTGCTTGGGGGTAGGGCTGGCCCATGGAGGCAGAGAATTTGCAAGAGAACAGTACATCCCCCAGGAAACCACCCCAGAAGTGTCAAAGGGCAGCTCTGAGAACAAAGCATCCCAGCAGATCCTGGCGGTGCTGTCTGCCCAACTATCAGCACTCTCACATGGAAATTTCAGAGTCAGTGAGTATGGAGAGGGGACAATGTAGCATCTGTATGTGCTAAAAATGTTGTCACAACACATTGCTCTCCCCACACCTTGGGACTGGAGGATCTTAGTCACAAGCCCACTGGGCTCTGAAGCCGAGCGGTCCTGGAAGTGGCTGGCTGTACAGGAGTGTGTGAGGCTGAGGGGAGCCCTGAACCAGGGACAAGTTTCCAAGGAGCAGAAGAGTTAGACAGGAGGGGCAGCAAAGTCTGAGTCTTAGCTAAGCCAGAGAAGAGACAGAAAATGGGCCAGGGAGAACAGTGCAGGCCTGAAGCAGTCACCCGGCCAGGGGCCCCACTGTCTAGCCTGAGATCATATTGTGCAGCCTTCAGCCTATGGCTGCAAAGATTTCTATCTGAGAACCAGACCACAGGACCCCTCCAGACCAGAGAAGCAGATGACAGCACACGGAGAAGGGCTTGATGTAGAAGCTGGAAAAGGGGACATGTGAGCTTGATTCTAGTTCATGTACTGTGACCAAATCCTACACCTCAGAGACCCAGGAAGTTGTCACTGATAAAAGTGTCAGCTGTTAGCTCCTAGAAAATGTAGAAACCAGCCAAGGGCACCACATACATTACACCCCATATATGCCTTGGAACTCACCAAACAGAGACACAGAGACATACACAGACACGCACCTCACCATCCCTGCAAAGCACTTCCGCACTTGGTCACTGGCAAGAAAACCAGACAAAGGACCAACAGGACTGTAGCTGCCACATAGACAAGACTTCCCTTAGGTCAGGGGGCCTTTTAGAAGAGTCCAGTTAGTTGGCATGGTGGCCCATGCCTTGAGAGGCAGGACTGAAATTCCAAGCCAGTCTTGAATGTACAGCAACAGCTTGTCTCAAAAACAGAAGACAGGGAAGCCCTATGGCTACATAGTCCAGTCTCCAGGTAACCTCAGGTCTTCCCTCTGCTCAGAACCAGCTAGACATCCTGCTGCCCACTTGCCCACACAGCCTTCCACAGCTGAAAGGAGCTTCGGTTACTGGCATTTCTCAGAGCACTCCGGCCAGCCACATGGATCCCGTAAGAGTCACCTACACCCCAAGGGCCAGAGGGACTGCCTGCCAAGCGTCTATGTTCTTCACAAAGTGTGTGCTGAGAAGCTGCCAGCCTGCCCTGTCCACAAATCTGTCTCTACAGAGGCATACTCCAAGTGTGTGCAGAGGGCTGGGACTTTCAGCTTATCTGGTAGACGGCTTGCCTATCATAAACGAAGCCCTCCCTGGGTTCCAAACCCAACGCTACATGAACTGGGTGTGGCGGTGCATGCCTGCAACACCAATGCTTAGGAGATGGCAGCAAGATCAAGGTTCAAAGTCAGCCAGGCTTTCTGAAGAGACAGTAGTGTCAGCAGCAGCAGCCAGGTCAACGCTGAAGTTACACGTCCTCAGCAATAAGCCCATCACCCAACAATACTGAGCCGGTAAAATGCCAGTAGCCACTTCTGCTGGCAGACAAGGGCAGGGAGAAGAGGTGCAGGAGTAGAGAAGGGCCGTGGAGGGCAAAGAAGAGAGTCCAGGCAGCAAGATTTGGAGGAAGCTGAGCAGAGCTGGAGAGTGTGTGTGAACCAGGAACTACCTTTCACGGACATTTTCCTCAGCCTCTTAACTGAGCTGTGACCTTTAGAGGCCGGACGGGAGGCAGGAGGGCCGGTGGGCCGGGGTGCGCGGCTAAGACACACAGGGAGTCCAATGGCTGACAGCACACTCGTCATGCCTGCACGGGTGCGAGATCAGACATGCAGAGGGGACAAACGTTAGAAGGAGGCATTCCACACTTGGTGTCCATGGCCCTGCTGGGAGTGAAGTGGTGACATTGTGAATGGCCATCAAGACTGGGAATCTCTCCAGGAGAGGGGAGCTGTCACTGGAAGGGTGCCAGTGCCTCCCCAGGCCAGCAATGTGGTTGGTACTCCAGGCCAGACACCAGAGAACCTGAACCCCAAGTTCCCCGAAGTCTACACAAGCCACTGCTGAGCCTGTGCCCACAGCATGCGGGGAGGGAGTGGAAGGACAAAGTGGCTTTAGGAGAGCAGAGGCAGAAGAGCCCAGGGGCCTCCTGCATGGCATCTCCCCATGACCGGCACAGGGAAGAAAGAGAGGGATGTGGCAGGGTGCAGCCAAGCTATGGCAACAGGGGCAGACCCAGCAGGGCAGGCTTCAAGGGCCTGGGGTCTTCCCTTGACTGTGCTAAAGTTACTTGGCTTGTGATCATCTGGCCTCCTGTGAGATGCTGTCCACAGCCTGTCTGGACTGTGTGGGTAATGATGGTGATGGCTGACACTGTCAACTTGATGGGCTCCAGAACCACCAGAACCACCAGGAGACAGCCACTGAGCACATCTCAGAGAGTCTCCAGATGACATGGGTTAACTGAGGTAAAGAGCACTCTACTGTGGGCAACACTTTCCCCAAGGAAAAGAAGGAGGAGGAAGCCAAGCACCCATCTCTCTCTGGTTCCCAACTGGGGGTGCGTACCCACATATCCTCAAACTGAGATGAAGAAACCGAATTCTTCCTTCCTTTCTCCCTCACTAGTTCTTTCTGTTTGGTGTTTTGTCACAGCTTTGGCAACACTGCGATCTGGAGCAGCGGTCCACAGGACTACTCCCATACTCCCCACACTGAAGCCACCCCAGGCTTCATCTACTAGGGAAGAATCCCCAAGAGGCACCGGTGTTGACACTGGACGGGTTGCTGTCTCCAAACCATAGGACTGCCCCATTACGGGAACCCACTTTTTCTAGATGGAAGCTCTTCTGATGCCGTCCCTCCCCCGCACTCCCTGGTAACCTGATACTTCCTGGGACAGAATATTCTCTTGCTGGAAGTCCTCACCTCTGTTACACTGCCAGCCCACACAGAAATACAAGTCCTCCAGGATCTTAGTCTGGCTCCAAAGCACCTTCTTCGGGGAATGGATGCCCTGGCTTCTTAGCCCCCTTGACAGCAGCCTTCCTGGTCCTCTGCACAGCCTCCAGAGCTGAGCACAGCCCTCCCCTGTGCCATTCCTTTCCAGGACAGGTAAAACTAGAAAGCACCACCTGTATCAGAGTTGTTGCAGAAGGGCTGAGGGGCAGCGAGGGTCACAACTCTCAACTGGACAATGAGCTGTACTGGGGACAGAAGCAGAGGCCAGCAACGGCCCGAGGAGGCTGGAGATCATGCCGTGGCCTCTCAACAGGAGGCCTCACAGCACACACAGGAGAGGCTTACTGGGTGGGGCCCACAGCATGGGTTGCCCCAAGGATAACCCCATTCCAAGGATGTTCCCACAGGAAACGGAGACTGTGTGACAAAAGGACAAGGAGGTGCAAGTGGCAGGAAGCAGGGAAGAGGGATGGAGCAGCATTCCTTCAGAGAACCCCAAGACTGCAATGACTCACTGACTAGAACGTGCCCCCTTCCCTGGACTTGTGATGCTGAGAGACACATCACAGGCGTGTCTTCGGGAGTCTGGTTTGGTTTGGTTTGGTTTGGTTTTTGAGACAGGGTTTCTCTGTATTGCTTAGGAGCCTGTCCTAGAACTCATTCTGTAGACCAGGCTGGCCTCGAACTCAGAGATCCACCTGCCTCTTCCTCCCAAGTGTTGGGATTAAGTGCCACCAACGCCCGGACTGAGGGAGTTGTTAGGTTAGGTGACTAAGGTGGAAGGCCCACTCTAACCGCAGCCAGCAGCATTTCATGGCTGCGGTCTTGGACTGAATAACAAAGAGAGAGTCAGCTGAGCACCATCACGCACCATCACCATCACCTCTCTGCAGCCTGACTGCATGTCATGTGACCAGCTGCCTCCCACTCTTGCTGCCAGACTTGGCCTCATGATGGACTGCATCCCCTGAAACTGCAAACCAAAACAAGTACCCTCCATACTTAAGTCACCTGTCAGGTATTTAGCCACAATGACAAGGAAAGTAATAGGACTGAGCAGGACTCCCCTAGGCAAGCAAGCATCACTGTCCACACAGAGGGAGACAGCCATATGTCACTGCCACCTCAGCTTCTTTGCTGTCCTCTATTTCCTTCTTTGCATCTAGCCATCTGAAAGCCCTCAGGCCTGCTTCAGCTGATACCATTCCCTCAGCATGAGCCCCATAGGGGAAGGGTGCTACTGACCCACTATTGTCTGCCTTGCATCCCGGGCAACACATTTATGTTGGAGGTGTCTGCAGAGGAGCAGAGACATCCCCTGGAACACACTAGCAGTTCCCCAGAAACCAAGTCTCAATACTCCTTCCCCGTCCAACACAGTGCCCTACAATTCCAGTCACACACACACACACACACACACACACACACACACACACACACACACAATCTAAATCAGAATGAAGACACTTAGAAAGGAAATGGCCTTTGGGTTAGGGACATGGCTCAGGCAGCAGATTGCTTGCCTAGCATGTGTGACATCCTGAGTTCCAACCTCAATGCTCCATAGGTGGGTGTGGTGGTGCAGCCCTCTAGTTGCAGCACTGGGAGACGAGGGCAGGGAGATCAGCAGTTCACGGTCATTCTCAGCTGCACAGTGAGTTTGAAGCTAGCTTGGGCTACACGAGACTTTCAAAAACAAAAAAAGTCCCCACTTCAAAGTTACATAATGATGAAACATGAACATCCTTCATATCTCTCTTGGTGACAGCAGTATCTAACAGCCAGGCATTGTGGGATGACCCTCTGCCATCTCACGTGACCTCTCCAGATGCCAAGTTGAAAGGGTCTTCTTAGCTGGGCGTTGGTGGCTCACACCTTTAATACCAGCACTCGGGAGGCAGAGACAGGTGTTTGAGGCCAGCCTGGTCTACAGAGCTAGTTCCAGGACAGGCTCCAAAGCAATTCAGAGAAAAAAAAAAAAAAAAGGAAAAGAAAAGAAAGAAAGGGTCTTCCTTCTAAATGGTTGAAACCAAACCTCCTTCTGCACTCCGCTGAGATGGCCTTTACCAGGTGTGAGCCAAGCTGCACATGATTTCCCTACCCTCAAGCTTGTACCGCCTAACTACCTGGTGCAAATACAGGGATTCCCTATAAACACAAACTCAGCTGCTCAATTTCCTTGTGCCAGCTGTAAATGACCAAAAGTCATTGCACGATTCTGTTTTCCTTTAAATATTTTTCTCCAAGCATGGTGGTGCATGCCCTTAACTGCTGCATTCAAGAGGCAGAAGCCGACAGGTCTCTATGAGTTCAAGGCTACACAGTGAGACTCTACCTCAAAAATAAAAATTTTTAAAAAAGATTTGTTAATTATGAGTTTACTTGTGTCTATGTTTGGGTACGTGTACATGAGTACCACTGCCTGTAGAGGCCAGAAGTGGGTGCTAGATGCCTTGGCAATGGATTTACAGGCAGCTATGAGCTGCTTGGGTGTATGCTCATGACCCAAACATGTACTTAAAAAAAAGAAAGAGCATTTTCATTTATGTGTATGAGTGTTTTGCCTGAATGCATGTACATGTAACATGTGTGTGCGCCTGGTGCCTACAGAGGTCAGAAGAGGACACTGGTCCCTGGATCTGCAGTTACAGAGGTTGTTAACTGTAACCTGGGTGCCCAGGAACCACACCCAGGTCCTCTACAAGAGTATCAAGTGCTCTTAACTGCTGAGTCATCTTTCCAGCCTGCCTTCCTATCACACTCACAAGTGGCAAATGACTTTGATGGGTCCCCAACAAAGAAGGTGTTATAAAGCACTAGTATGCATGGCTACAGTGACCTTCCTGAACTCCAAAGGTACCTTTTCATATTCCATGCACATACCCTTCCTCTGAGCACAGCCTTCCTGAAATGGACAGCCCCATGCCCAGTACCTCTGCACCGCTCCACCTGTCTATGCCACAGGCATCACCCCTGTCCAATGCTCTTGCAAAACTCAGGACACCAATGCATCACAAAGTAGCCAAGGATGCACTCTGTCCTAGTACAAGATGGGTATAAAAGAAAAAGACTTCAGACCAGGCAGAATTCAGGAGACTGAGGCAAGAAGATCAATACTGAGATCCTATCTCAAAACAAAAACTGCAATCCCAACTGTAGGAGACTGAGACATCAGGCTCATTGAGCCCGTCTCAAACAAAACAAGACCCAATCAGGGCTGGGGATGTAGCTCAGCTGGTAGAGTGCTTGCCTAACATGCACAGAGCTCGGAGTTCCACCCCAGCACCTCACAGAGCAGGCACAGTGGCACATGACTAACTCTGTCACTTGAGAAGTGCAGACAGGAGGATCAGTCTAAGGTCATCTGACACCAGCCTGGGCTACATGAACTCTGTTTAAGGAAAAAGGAAGAAAAGAAAGAAAGATGGGATACAGGATGCAGCCAGGTGGGAGGCTAGTGAGGTGGCTCAGTAGGAAAAGGTACTTCCAGCACAACCTGCTAACTTGAGTTTGATCCCCGGGACTCACTCGACAGAAGGGGAGAACTGACTCCTACAATCTGTTCTCTGACCTCCATACATGCTCCATGGTATGCCCTCCACCACTCCTACACACAAATGTTCATTTTTAAAGGTTCTAAGGGCTGAGAAGACAGTAGTACAGTTGGTTAAAAAAATAAAATTACTGTGCCAAGTATGAGAAACTAAATTTGATGCCCAGAAACCATATAAACCATATAAAAAAACCTAGGCCTAGTGGTTTGCATTTGAATTCCAGGGGCTGGGGAGGCAAGGACAGTCAGATTCCTGGAGCTGGCTGGCTAGGAAGTCAGCCAGCCCATCACAACCCGAGAGTCCCAGGCCAACAATGAGAGACTGACTGGATCTTAAAAATCAAGGTGGTGGCAGACTGCAGCTAGGATATCTGAATCTTCTTCGAATCCCCCAAGACAGCGCCCCTTACCAGCAGGAAGTAGTTTGGAAAGAGCGACGCCCAAATTCCCAAATGTTGTGTATAAATGTTTGTTTTCATTTAATTGGGCTTTGTTATATAAAATTAAATAAAAATAAATAAATAAATAAAAATCAAGGTGGTGGCGCACACCTTTAATCCCAGCACTCGGGATTAAACTCACAGCTGGATCTCTGTGAGTTAGAGGCCAGCCTGGTCTACAGAGTGAGTGCCAGGATAGGGTCCAAAGCTACAGAGAAACCCTGTCTCAAAACAAAAACAAACAAACAAACAAAAATCAAGTTGAACCGCTCCTAAAGAACACTGCCTGGAAAATTCTCTGGATCCCCTGAATACACTCATAAAATATATCAAAGACAAAATGCCAAGACCTAAGGGCTGGAGAGACAGCTAAGCTGTTAAAAACACTTGCTGTTCTCGATGAGGACTCAGGTTTGGTTCCCAGCACGCACAAGGCAGCTCATAACTCCTGTGAGTCTCACTCCAGGGGAATCCAATGATACCCTCTTCTGTCCTTTTTTAGGACCCTGCACTCATGTGGTAAACATACATACATTCAGGCACATACATATACAGAATAATCATAAACACACACACAAGACCTAACTAAGGCCAAAGGGGCCCTGTAAAGAAATATTATAACTATAGCTCAAATGGCTGCAAACTCTAGGAAAGTATCTACCAGGCCTGACATCCCCCCCAAAGATGGAGAGACTCCTAGACTTGCTCCCTTGGAGTATACCAATCACCCCAAAGAGGCACTAATCCCCAAGAAGTCCCTTTGGATTTCTCTGAGGCCCCAGAGGGTGCCAGGGCCTTCACCCCACCAGTCCCCTCCCCACTAAGCCCAATGGGACATGGTCTGTTGGGACACTTACCTGCAAGCGCTTGCTGGACCCTGCTGGGCTTTGGCATCTGCACGGGCACAGTGGTCGGGGCACTCCCTGGGCTGCTGGAGGAGGGACCGCTGGGGAAGGAGGCACTTGGGAAGAAAAGAGAGCAAACTCAGTGGACGATGTCGTACTGTGGAGAAAATCTGCAAGACTGGGAGGTTCTTTGGCTGCACTTTCTCAGCAGCCTGTGGGTGGAGGCCCGTGCACTATTTCCTCAGGCAGTTCAGAAACTCTGAAGACAAGGCGTTCAACCAGGTTTCAAGTAGACTTTAAAAGAGACATTCTGTCACTTTCAAACAGTGTTCTAGTTAAAAACTGTATCATTCATTCATACATATACCTGTACACACACACACACACACACACACACACACACACACACACACACACACACACACGCAGGCCAATGAGATGACTCAACACTGTGTGTGAGCTTTCTATCACTGAGCCTGGCCACCCTGAGTTCATTGCCCAAAACCCACAGGGTAGAAGCAGAGAACCAATTCCTACAAACTGTCCTCTGACCTGCATGTGAGTTTCGTGCAGCACGTGATTATCCATACACAATAAATATATGCAAAATTTTAAGGAAGGCTCTCAGCTGGGCATAGTGGCACTCACTTGTAATCCTAGCACTGAAGAGGCAGAGGTAGGAGATCTGACAGGAATTTAAGGCCAGCATGGTCTGAGTTCAGAGGCGCACAGGCATGTCAGAAGAGGGAGCTGGAGTCACAGACAATTGCAAGCAAACCAACATGGCTGCCTGGGAAGCAAACTCAGAGTCTCACTCTTATCTACTATGGCACTCCAGCACTCACAAAATAAAACTTTAAATGAAAGATCCAGACCCTGGGGGGATAGCATAGTGGGTAAATGCCCACTACGCAAACATGAGGACCTGAATTTGCATCTTCAGGGCTTGTCTAGATAATCAGTGAGCTCTCTGGTTCAGGGAGAGATCCTGTCTCAAAAACAAAACCAAACAAGGAAGGCAGAGGCAGGTGGATCTCTGTAAGTCTGAAGCCAGCCTGGTCTACACAGCAAGTTCCAGGAAAGCCAAAATAAAAATAAGTAAATAAAGCTGGGTGGTGGTGTCACACACCTTTAATCTTGGCACTTGGGAAGCAGAGGCAGCTGGATTTCTGTGAATTCAAGCTAGCCTGCTCTACAGAGCGAGTTCCAGGACAGCCAGAGCTACACAGAGAAACCCTGCCTTGAAAAAATAAATAAATAAAATAATTAATTTAAAAAGGCAGCATGTGAAGACACCCAGTGTTGACCTTTGGTTTCAACATGAATACACAAATGTAGATATGTACAAGCACATGCGTATAACATAAATGTGGGCTGAGTTGACCATAGTGATTAAGACCAAAGTTTAGTTCTCATTCCTCATGTTCAAATGGCAACAACAGGCAGGCCTGGTGGTATAGGCCTGTCAGCCCAGTTATTCTGGAGATTGAGGCAGGAGGAGGGGGTCACCAAAGTCAAGATCAGACTGGACAACATACTGAGACTTTGTTTCAAAGTAAAAAGAGGACTTGGGAAGCTGGTAAGATGGCTCAGATGGCATTTGCTGACAGGTCTAATGACCTGAGATCAAGCCCCTGGAACGGACATGCTGGAAAGAGAATTCACTTCTGAACGTTATCCTCTGATCTCTGAATAAGCAGACACAAATGCATGTGTGTATGCAAGTGTATACACACACATAATACACACATATAGGTAAAATAGAACTTATGGATGTAGCTCAGTGGTAGAGCCTTGCCTAACAGAAGTGAGGCCCTGGGTTCAACCCCTAACACAAAAATAAATGGAGCTGGACCGAGGGAAGGTCTAAACCAGAGTAGTGCTCTAGGGTAGACCTGAGTGATGAAAGGTTTTATTTGCCATGCAGTGGTGGCACATGCCTTTAATCCCAGAACTCAGGAGGCAGAGGCAGGCAGATTTCTGTGAGTTCGAGGCTAGTCTGGTCTACAAAGTGAGTTCCAAGATAGCCAGGGCTACGTAGAAAAAAAATCCTGTCTCAAAAAACTAAACAAAACAAATTATTTGAATTTCTTGAATGTTCTCTTCAAATGAAATAGCCTGGTGTGGTGGGGCTTCACAAAAACAAGGCTGAGTGGGGGCTGGAGAGATGGCTCCAGGGATCACATGGTAACACCACGTGCAAGCCATTCTGGTTTGGGGCAGAGCTCTTCAAGAACAGTTGACCAAAGGCCTGAGTTCCTGCCAGCTCCTCCTCCTTCCCACTCCTGGGGCTCTCCCGACCCCCTTTCCATGCGGCCCTGCCCATTCTGATGATGAAATGTGAAGGTTACAAAACCTTCCCATGTGGTTCCTCTCACACTCTGGGGCTCCTTGGTGCTCAGCCCAGAACTTGGAAGGCACTCAGGCATGGAGGACAGACACTAGCCAGCTCTTGTACAGCCATGAACATAGCAGCAGCCCCTGCCTCCAGGGTATGCCCCAGACCTGCCCCAGAGAAAGGGTGGAAGCTACAAGGCAGCTGGTGACCTCATCCAGCTGTGAAGCCACACACCCAACTGGAGCTGGGCTGAGGGAAGGCAGTGGCCTCCCACAGGGTCTACAACAGAGCAGTACTCCCAGGCTGGCCTGGTTGATGAAAGAGGGTTTATTTGCCTGGCAGTGGTGGCACACACCTTTAACATTAGCACTCAGCAGGTAGAGGCAGGCGGATCTCTGAGTTCAAGTCCAGCCTGGTCTACAGAGTAAGTTTCAAAATAGCCTGGGTTACAGAGAGAAACCCTGTCTCAAAACAACAAACAAACAAAAAGGTTTTTTGATTTTTTTTTTTTTTTTTAATTTCTTGAATGTTCTCTACAAATAAGAAAGCCTGGTATGGAGGGACTTCTTGTCCCCTCTACTCTCAGCCCAAAAGAAGGCTGGGGTGAGAAGGCTTAGTGGTTAAGAGCTGCTCTTCCAGAGGATCGGAGTTCCCAGCACCCACATGGTGGCTCAAAACACCTGTCATGGTATCTGATTCTCTCTTGTGGTGTGCTTGAAGACAAGAGTATTCACATACATGCAAGAAAGAAAAAAAAGAAAGAGGAAAGGAAAGAAAGGAAGAAAGACAGCCAGACAGATAGGCAGGCAGGTGGACAGACAACAGCAGCTGGGGTGCATTGAGGGTGCTCTGAGGTATTGATGCTACCCTATCTGCTGTCAGTAGATGTAAGCTCACCTTCCCCAAGCCTGTTTCTACCCTTTTTATGTTTTCCTTTAGCTATGATAACATGCAGCCCAAGCTGGCCCAGAACTCAGTAAGTAGCTGAAGAGACCCTAAACCCAGCCTCTAACTCTGGAGTGCTAGAATTACAGGTGAGCACTACCACACCCCATTTACAATGCTAGAGATTAATTCCAGGTCTTCCTAGGCATGATTCTTACTAATTAAACTACAGCCCCAGGCCATGTGCCCTCCCTTCTTTAGATAGTCTCATTTATACCCCAGGCTGTCCTCAAACTAAGTGTAAGGATTACAGGTGTGTGCCACCATTGCAGGCTGGTGCTCTCCTCTGCCCTGGCTAGGAGGTGGGTGATCTGTGATATGGATTACTCAGATGCTTTATAAGGGAGGGCATTTAGCAGGTCCATGGCTGATCTGCAAAGCCAGCTTCTGGAAACAGAAGCAGGCAGATCACTCCAAATTTGAGACCAGGGTAAGCTACATAGCAAATTCTAAGGCAGCCAGGGTCATACAAGACCATTTCAAAAGGAAAAATAAACAAAACACGCCCTTCACCCCTGTCACCTCTCCAGAGAGCAATGAACTTGAGCTCTGAATCAACATCAGAAGTGGGAGAAAGGATCACAGGAGCCAGTGGGCTCAAGGACACAAGAAAATCCACAGAATCAACTAGCCTAGACTCATGGGGCTCACAGGGCCTGCATGGGACTGACCTAGACCCTCTGCATGTTAGTTATGTGGCTTGGTCCTCCTACAGAACTCTTAAGAGTGGGACCAGAGGCTGTCGCCAACTCTTTTACTGCCTTCTGGGATCCTATTCCTCAGTCTGGTTACCTTGCCCAACCTTAATACATGCAGAAGTACTTCGTCTTACTACAACTTGATATGCCATGCTGTGTTGATACTCCAGGGAGACCTGTCCTTTCCAAAACAGAAACAGAGGAGGAACATATTGGGGGATGGGGACAAAGAAGGGATGGGATGAGGGAGCTGGAAGGAGAGGAGGGTGGGAAAACTATGGCTGGGATGTAAAATAAATGTTTTAAAAAAAAAAAAAAAAGCCAGAAAAACTGAAGTTTGGCTCTATATGAGAGAGAAAGCTGGACATCTGTGTGTGTGCACAATATACACATGTGTGCATGCATGCTTTTGTATGAATGTGGGGCACATGGACACTGTGATGTGAGGCATCATCCTCACTTTTCTTCTACCTTATTCACTAAGGAAGGGTCTCTCAAGCAAACCCGGAATCCACCAATATGAGCTTGCCAGTCACCTTGCTCTGGGGATCTTATCATCCTCTTCTGAGGATGGGATTCCAGGAGGACTGCCATGCTCACCAGGCATTCCTGTGATTTTCTGAACTACCATCTTCACATTTAATCATCAAGCGCTTTAAAACAGAGCCACCTCCCCATCCTGACTTTCAATATCTTATTTAAAGAACTTGACCCAAGGAGGCCAAAGCAGAAGGAAACCCAGTCACCTCATCACCCACCCTGGACTTGGACTACATTCAGCACCATTTGGACACACTAATGACAGTGCCCTAGGCTCAGCAGGCTGTAAGATGGACACGCCAAGTCTCACTCCAGAATTCCATATTTTATAGAGTGGAGAGTAGGATTAACCCAAAGCCCAAAATAATTATCTCAAGAAGAAAGACACATACACACACACCTGACTTCCAGGAGCAGAAGATAGACAAAGCAGGTTCCAAGGGCCCTCACTGAATTGAAAGCTCCACAGCAGCATTGGAGCAAAAGGAAAATCCAGGAGCCAGAAGATGGCTTAGCAGGGTAAAGACCCTCACCAAGCCTGATGACCAGAGTTTGATGCTGGTACCCACGAGGTAGAAGGGAGAGAACTAATTTCCACAACCTGTCCTCTGACCTCCATGCTTGTGTCATGGCCCATGTATGCCTATGCATCACACACACACACACACACACACACACAGTCTTACCTAAGTTTATACTCATACGTGAGGTCACATTCATGGCTATCCTCAGCTAGATGAAGCCTACTGGATACAGACTAGACACATTTGGCTAATGTTTCAAAGCTGCCAGCCTTCATCACAAGGCTAAGCAAGTTGTCCTGCCCTGCATTAGAGATGGCCCTGAGCATGACACCTTCTGGAAAGTTTTCTAGCACCCTCATTAGTGTATGTTTTGCTGCTTACAGGGACAAAACTTCAGCTACAAGGAAATGTGGTTATACCCAGAAGCTCAGTTACAAATGACACAGCTTTGTCTGGAGCTCATGTTCCCAGGGGGCACAGCCAGTTTCACCTAGACTGAACAAAAAAGGACAGGAAACCACATGAGTTTTGAAAAACATGAGTTTCCATAAAGCCTGGGACATCACTCACTCATGGTCAGGGTGCTGCAAACTCCCACGAAATGCTGTTGCCCCTCCCTTGGCTTCCAGACCTGTTACTAAAGCCCCTGGGGAGGAAAAGGGGCCAAATGTTTGCATTTCTCCAGTGCCAGCTGGGGAAGAGACCAGGGGATTAGTTAAGCCCCAGGGCTCTACAATCCACCAGAGCAGAGTGCCTGAGAAGACCACAGAATAAACTAGATATGCAAGGCTGGTGACATGCCAAGCCTGAGGACCTGAGTGCAATTCCCAGATCTACTCGGTGGAAGGAGAGCTGACAGGTTGTCCTCTGACCTCCACATGCAAACACCTCCCACATATACAAAATATATACATGTAATTTTTTAAAAGAGATATGAGTAAACATTTGCTTGTTCAGACTGGATAGGTCCCTGTAGTGAAAGGATACCCCTCCCAGCTCCTAAAAAGCCTGAGGAGACACAGATGCACAGTGACTTATGCTGAGGCAGCCAGCTTGCTCTGAGGCTGCCCAACCAACACAGCAGGCTGGCCCAGTTCCTCCTGGCTCCTGCCACCCGGCAAGTAGCAACAGGAAGGGCTTGTCTGGCGGCAACAAGCTGGCCCAGTGACCTCCTAGCCTGCCAGGGTCCTAGCAGTGTCTGTAGGCCTGCAAATAGGAAGAAGAGACCCCAACCAACAGGAGCTCCATACCAGGAGGAACAGTTCAAGACTTACTAAGTCTGACTCATCCCAAGTCCCCAGTTATAGTTCTGTGGAGTTTGCCTCAGCAGGGCTTGGAGGCTCACACCTATAATAGGGAAGAAGTCAGAATCTGACGACAGTCTGGGCTACACACTAAATTCTAGGCCAGGCTAGGCTAAAAAGTGAGATACTACTTGGGAGAAGGGGCGAAGGAGTGGGAAAGGATGGGGAGAAAAAAGAAGTGGAAAGAGGAAGAGGAGGTAATGAGGAGAGAGAAGACAGGAAAGAGGATGATTCCCCTCAAAATAACTTGTAACAATTCCACCAAGCAGAAACTCTGCTTCAGTGTTCTAGGCTGGTCATACAATCCTGTTCCCTCAAAGACCAAGCCACACACTAAGGGTAAGTGACATGAGAGAGGAACCTCCTGGAGCCTGCAGGTTCATGCCCATGTAAGAGCCTGCAAAGGGCTCTGTGATACCTGTCTGGGTTCCCAGTCCCCAGAGGAAGTACACTCACACAATTCTAGGGAGAGACTCCCTGGAAGCCTCTGATCCAGGCCCTGTACTCTCCTTGGTCTAGCAGACCCCTGCCTCCCTGCTTTCCTCCTCCCTGCACACTCAGGCCAGCTTCAATGTCTATGTACCCCACACCTGGCAAGTACCCAGGCACCATGGTGGGTGCTAAACTATTGAGCCACACCCCTAACCCTCACTGGGGAGTCTAGGCAGTTAGTTGCTCTACCTCTGAGCCTTGCTCCAAGCATGGAGGATTCTAGTGAGCATTCTAGCACTAAGCCATATCTGCAGGTCTGCATCTGTAGACTCTAGGCAAACATCCCTGATGTCTACCCCTGCCCATGTCACAACCATGAAAAATAAAGCTTCCTAAGGCATCAAAGACTTGGGCAGCTCACATTTCTTTAAGTGGATTTTAGAGAACACTACTAGCTTTTGTAAGATACCTGTGTGTACCAGGCACTTTCCTCCCTTAGGTGGAGGTTCTAAGGATGGCAGAGTAATTGCCTAATACACAGGAGGAAGAAATAGGAGGAGGAAGAATTCCAGGCCAGCCTGGAATACAAAGGGAGACCTTTTCTAAAAACAAAATAGAATAAAGAAAAACATAAAACACCAGAACCAGTGAGATGGTTCCGTGGGTAAAGGAGATGGCCACCAAGCCTGATGACCTGAGTTCAATCCCAGCCCAACATGGCAGGAGTTTTCCTCTGACTCCAAATACTCACTGTGGCACCTGCACTCACCCACCCACCCACCCAAAGAAAAGTTAATAATTTAAAAAAAATATCACCTGGCTTGGGCTGGCTGGATAAATTGCTCAGCAGTTAAAAGCACTGGTTATTCTTCCAGAAGACCCTGGTTCAATTCCAAGCACTGACACAGTGGTTCACAACTATCTGTTACTCCAGTTCTAAGAGATCTGACATCATCTTCCAGCACCAGGCATGCATGTGCACAGACATACATACACACAAGACACCAACACACATGAAAACAAAACAAACCACCAAACTAAACAACAAAATTCCACCTGGCTTCATATGGGGGCAGACCCTATAACCCCAACACCCCGAAGACTGAGACAAGAAGACTGGCTCCATCTCCAGCACCACAGACAGCCGAAATGAAAAACACATCACCTAGTTTGGCCTGGCCTCTGACACCATCACCTTCTCAGGAGCTATACCCCACAACCTCCACCCTTCCCAGGCTCCTCTGAACTAAACTCAGAGTTATATGTGCCACCACATCTGCACCGCCTGCACCTGGCAGGAGTCAGCCAGTACCCATTTATTCAAAATGTCCCCAGCTGGGCACTGGTGGTACACACTTTTAATCCCAGCATGAGGGAGGCAGAGTCAGGTGGATTTCTGTGAGTTCGAGGCTAGCCTGGTCTAGACCAAGTTCCAGGACAGCCAGGGTTAGACATGGAAAAACCTTTCTCAAAACAACAACCAAAAAAAAAAAAGAAAGAAAGAAAAAAAGAAAGAAAACAGAATGTCAAAGTGTCCTCAAGGAGCAGAGCCCCTCGGGCAGTATGCAAGCCCTGGCCTCACCATCCTGAGAATGGAAGGACTGTTGAGTAATGGATAATGGCCTATAATCCCAACACTGACTGCTGAGGCAGGAAGCTTGTTCAAAGTTCAAGAACAGCCCCAGCTATGTTAAGTTCTGGGTCAGCCTGGGCTACAGAATGAGTCTGTTTTAAAAGGCAAAAAAAAGAGTTGGGGCTGTGGTTAACTGTCTAACTGCTTGCCTGGCATGCAACTGTGGTTAACTGGTTAACTGCTTGCCTGGCATACACAAAGTCTTGGGTTTGATCCACTAGCACTTGAGAGGTAGATCAGGAGGATCAGAAGTTTGAGATCATCCTCAGCTATGCAGGGAATTTTGAGGCCAATCTGAGCAACATGAGACCCTGTCATTTAAATTAAAGAAACAAACAAACAAACAAAAAAAGATTGCTGATCCCAGGACTGCTAGGACCAACGATCAATGTGCCATGGTTTGGTAGCTCCATGGGATGCCACACTGGAAAACCAAGGAGTCTCAGCACTTGCAAGAGACAACACACTAGGGACAAGCAGGCATGTAGGTGCAAGGCTGAGGGAGAGGCTTTCCACATGGGTAAAAGCAAAGTTCCCACTGTGAGGTACCTGGCTCCACTGGAGGTGGACGGTCCTGAGGGCAGGAGCTGTGGCCCCAGGTGGGAGAGGCTAGAGTGGAACAAGGACTGGTTGCCTGGAACAGGAGGTGTTGCGCCCCAGGGGTTGGTGGTGTTCAGCCTGGGTGCAGACCTAGCCCCAGACAGTGAAGGTTTATTGTATGGAGCAAAGGCCTGGTGGGCCCCAAAGACAGTAGCGGTCCGGTGGGGTGCCTGGGGGGCAGGGTACGCAGGCAGGTTGGTCATGGAGTGTCGGTAGCGACCTGACACAGGGCCAGTTCCACTACCATGGAGGCACTGTTGGCAAGAACAGACGAGTCCCATGTGGCCTGGGGGAGCGATGACTGAAGTCACTGGGTAAACTGGCCCCACTTGGCGTCGCACATTCCGGCAGAAGCTGGAAGTCTTGTTGGTTTGCGTTAGGGTGGCATAGTTGACAGTGTAGTTGTAGCCCAGTGGGGCCAAGTCCACGACCTGGATGCCACGGCTTACTTGCTGTTCCAGATAGTCACAGACACTAGCTTCATAAGCGATCCAGGATCCGTCATCACCCAGCCACTCCCAGATGATGCCCTGACCTGGGGCAGAATTCTGTGAGAACAGGTGCCTGCGCACAGACCTCATGGTGCCTGTGGAAAAGGATCAGGACCCATAAATGAAAATCCTCCTGCTACTCAAAGCACTGACACTGCAGGTGTGCACTCCCATACCCACCTTTCTGTGGGTATATGTGTGCATCTACATGTGCATATGTCTGTGGTGTGCATGTCCATGTATATGTGTGCATCTGTCTGTGGTATGTCCAAGGTGTCAAGACGTCTGTGTGCTTCTGTGTTTTGTATGGTTGACTGTGTGTTTGCCTGGATATGTCTAAGTATCTACATCTTCATGTATATGTCTGTAGTGTGCCCATGTTATGTCTGTGTGTCTGCACCTGTGTCTGCATATGTATATTTGTATATATGTATATGTCTGAATATCTGTGTGTGCATACGTCTATGCTGCATATATGCATCTGTCTATAATATGTGTTGGGCAGTAGTGTGTCCATGGTGTGTATATATCATGTTTGATTATGTTTGTGTCTGTGTATGTAGACATGTCTGTACATGTCTACATATGCACTTATTATGTGCATGTGTCTGTGGTGTATATGTGGTATATGTCTGCCTATGTCTCCGTGTGTGTGTGTGTGTGTGTGTGTGTGTGTGTGTGTGTGTGTGTGTGTGTGTATTGCTGAAGATGAACCCCAGGGACCTCACACATTCTAGGTATGTGTTCTACCACCAAGCTACATCCCCAGTCTCAATTCTTTCCCCTTAATAGCACAATATCATCACTGTAGGTACATGGTCACATTGCTATTTGACTTAGGGACTGGCAGAGTCTATTCTGTCCAGATTTCATGGTAGGGTATAGAGGCTCACAAGGCAAGAGGCACTAAAGGACCAAGTCACAGAGTATGGGCTCACGCTCTATGGCAAAAAAGGCTGGCAGCTTACTTGTCAAACATGACTCATACTCGATAAGGCTTTTATTTTTTTCCCTCTCCTTAAGACAGTTTAGTCCAAAACTCTTTAAATCCTCCATCTGCAGCCTCCTAAGTACTGAAATTAAAGGCAAGAACCATAAGACTCTCTCAACTACCATGGTATCCTAATCCATATTAGCCAGCCTGCTGAAGGAGGAAGGAGCCAAGAGAGCCTTTGCATGAGCTCCCAACACATCGGCCACTATGGTTCATGTCTTCCAGTTAATGGCTGGTTTCTTTTGAGACAAGATTTCGTTTAGCCTAGCCTGACCTAGAACTCACTATACAGTCAAGGATGACCTTGAACTCCTGACCTTTCAGCTTCCACCTCCAGAATGCCACAATTACAGGTATATACTCAACATTGGGTCTATGCAGTGCTGGGGCTAGAACCCAAAGCTTCTTCTATGCTAGGTAAGCACTGTACCAACTGAGCTACCCCCCCCCCAGCCCTGGAAGTTATCAGTTACAGTACCCTCCTATCAGATGTCAAAAATAGGCATAGAAGGTATGGCCCTCACAACCATAACCTAAAACCTAGCATGGTACCCAGCCCAAAGCCAGAAGGGTCTTACCAGTATCCTGGCGGAACTGAGTCCAGCTGGGGAGGTCGATGATGTAAGGGGCCAGTGAAGGGTCAGCCTGGCCTAAGGGGATGCTGTGGGCCAGGCTCCCCAGTCCGAAACGCTGGCCCTTCTGCTGGACAAACTGCTGCTCAATGAAGGAGCAGACAGTGGCACTGTAGGGATGCCAAGTGCCAAGCCCATCCTGCCATTCCCACACAGCCACCACCACAGGGCTGGGGTACACCTGCGGCAGAGACGAGCTTGGGGCCATGGCCATCTTCTGCTTTCCCTGAAGACTTCAGACCACTCTGGGTTGCAGGCTCAGGTTCATTGCCCAGTACCTCCAGGGGATCTGGGAACAAGACACAGCAGTTACTCACACACATCGGGGGTCTTGTCAGGCAGCTAAAGAAAACCTACTTTTGTATACCACCCCAAGAGTGCCATGAACTAACTCTTGATCTCCATCTCTGCTCTAACAGGGAGATATTTAAAAGACATTCCTGCTGTTTACCCCCACTTCACCAAACAGTGAAAGAGGGGTGCTAATCACTACCCAGTCATTTCCTTCCTTCCTTTCTTCGAATGTGGGGATAGAATATAAGACCTGTTCGTGCCACACATCTCAGCTTCTCTCTGTTCTACTGCTGAGCCACAACCCAGCCATTAATGGGGAATTCTCAGCAGATGCTCTACAGCTGAGCCATGCCCCTGGGACTCAGTGTATTTGTGAGTCACCCCAAATCTTTGTGGAGAAGGCCATGATGACCCTGTGCATTTGTGTAAGAGCCCTCCAGTTCCCAATTCAGGTCTTATTTGTGAGACAGAGTAACAGCTGCTACACTATCCTCTCAGACGTTCTGAGGCTCAGGAACAAGGATTCCATGATGTTCTAGGGCAGTAGCTTACACATAGGTAATGGGTCAATGGATAGGAACAGTTAGCTATACAAACTAAGGACCCAAGTTTAAACTTGGACCCAGAAAAGCTGGGCATGCTACCTGTATCTGTAACCCCAATTATGAACCAGCCTGGCCAAAATGGCCAAGCTTCAGGGCCAGTGAGAGTCCCTGTCTCATAACATAAGGTGGAAAATGATAAAAGACATCCCAAGTCAGCTGGGCGTTAGTGGCACATGGCTTTAATCCTAGCACTCGGAAGACAGAGGCAGAGGCAGACAGATCTTTGTGGGTTCGAGGTCAGCATGATCTATAAAGCTACACAGAGAAACCTTGTCTCAAAAAACCAAAAAAGAAAAAAAGATAACCCAAGTCCTCCTCTGAACTCTGTATGTACACACATACAAACACACATACAGGCACATGCACACACATACCACACAAAACCAATACCAAAACAAAACAAACAGCTAAGGGACTATCATTGACCACAAGTAACCCTACATATAAAAATAAAGAGTCCCTTGGCTGTCTCCCTAGTACCTCCCTACACCTGTGCCTTATGGAGCAGCTAACTGGCTTCTGTTTACCCCAAGGACATTATCTGGTCCTCTTTCTGCTCCATCTTCTCCTGAGAACTTACATCCTTCATGCTCAACTTGTGTTACTCAGGGGGCTAGGCTCTGTGGCAGACTGCCTGCCTAGAATCCCCCCAATGTCACATGAGCTCATGACCCTGCACACTGTCCTCACACCAACCAGAAATCTACCAAGCAGGAATACACACAGGCACAATCCTGCCCCATGTCTTCCTACCCCACCAGATGACAACAGCTCAATGCCTTATTCACAGCTGTAGGGCCAGCACCCAGGAGGCATTCTATACACACTGGCTTAGAACACAGCGGGAGACATTAGGCAATGATGCCATGAAGTGCCCACAGCTGCTCCACTGGAGCTCCGCCAGGGCTCAGTCTGTGTCCTCACTCCTGCACTAGCTCTTGGACCCTGGACTGACAGTGTCTCCCGAGTCTCCGGATTCCTATAACTAGCTCCCTAAGCTCATGCCAAATTCCTTCCTGGTTTCACAGGTGGAGAAGTGAGACTTGCTCATCATATGGTGACAGACACTGAAGTGTCCAGATTTTGCTACCGTTCAATGCTCTAGAGGGCCAAGGCAATGCCCTCGAAGGGACAAAACAAAGAGGCCCAGGCTCTGATGTGAGCTCTCTAGAAGCTCTCACTCTCTGTCTGCTTTCCTTTAGAACATGGAGATGTTGACATTTATGTTAAGTGATTTTCATAGGAACTAAGCCAGACATCCCACCCAACCCTAGTCATCTGTGATGACGCATGCCTATAAAGTCCAACACTATAGAGGCTGAGACAGGAAGAGTGTGAGTTTGAGGCCAGCCTGGATTTTTTTTTTAAAGGCTATAGAGATGGCTCAGAGGGTGAAGTGTTTGCAATGCAAACAGGGGGAACTGAGTTCAGATGCCCAGAACCCACAAAAAATAGTGTGCCTATGACCCAGACCTGGAGGGGCCCTAAAAGGCATAGACAGATTTGCTGGCTAACCAGTCTAGCTGCAATGAAGTGAGCTTCAGGTTCAGTGAGAGACACTGTCTTAAAAACTAGGGTGGGAGAAAGGACTAAAACACCTTGACATCCATTTCTGATCTCCATATACACCCTCACCAGAGAATGTACCTAACACACAATACATAAACACAGAAAAAAAATTTAAAGCTGGATGTAGTAGAACACAGGAGGATTAGAAATTCAAAGCCAGCCTGGGTTACATGAGAGGATGCTTCAAAAAAAAAAAAAAAAAACATAAACAAACAAGAACTTAACTTATGAAGTATCCACCTAGCACTGGGCTCAAGGCAGACTGGCAGCGGCAGGGTTTGGCCTTTCTGCTGTTTACTCACCTGCACACCCTTTAGGTAGCAAAGGGAAGGGAGACCACAGTATGCAAAAACACAGTCAGTGAATGAGGCCTGTGAGGACATGAGTGTAATTCTGGGTGCCAGGCTGCGACCAGCAGTCAAAGCCTCCAACAAAGGCCCAGATACTGCCTAAGGATGAAACCTGGGGTGCTCTGGGCAAGACTGGCCCAGCTCAGAATCTACAATTAAAAATGCTTATAACCTAGCCTGAGCATAAACCAGAGGGTTGATTTCAGAGCCTGTGACTCCCAAGATGTCACTCATGGCTTAGGCAGCCAGGGCCTACAGCATCATTGGCTCACAGATATGTTCCAACATGTCTGTCCATCCCCAGACGAACCAACTCACAGAGCTCGGTACAACCAGAGGCACAGTCAGGGATGCTGGCTCCAGCTTTCCATGAAGCTGTGAGGCCACAGTAGATCCTGGGTCTACCACCACTTCTATGGTTGGCCAGATCCCCCTCATAACAAGGTTTTCACCTTTGGAACCTCATGCCCAGCCACACACAATTGACTCTAGCAAGTTCCAGAAAATTCCAAGCCTTTTCCAGCCTTGAGCCCTTGATTCTGCTGGTGTCTCACTAAGGAAGCATGCAAATCTTTCCAGACTCCATTGAATCTTCCTCCTGAGCCCTCTGGCCCACACTGTCACAAGGGCAGTGACTCCACCCTCCTGTCCTCTTCAGCACAGAGGTCACAATCATCCCAAGCAGACCTGCATGTCCTAAACTCCGTCTCTTTGAAGGGACAGCTGCTACTGACTCCAATAAGGGACAATAGAATTTCAAATGCCCCTCAACAAAGAAGGTCTGAACCCCAGGAGGGAGGAGAGCTAATGAGACAGCTGAAAAGGTAGATAACTGCCACTAAGCCTAGCTACTTGAGTTCAATTCCCATGATAGAAGACAACTCCTGCAAGTTGTCCTCTGACCTCCACCCACAAACCTGACACAACACACATAAATACACACACAAATAAATAAATAAATAAAATAAAAATATAGGGGAGAACCACCTACTCCGGGGGCCTGGGCCTTTTGAGCTGGTGCCTAGGCATGCTCACCAGCTTGCTGCTAGAACCCTGAATCATGCACATTGCAGCCCTGGGTCGATGTGCCCATTCTCTACCACAGCCCCAGTCAGCACCAAGCTGCACTTCAAAAACCTAATTTGTTTCAGCACCTAATGGTGGGCCTATTCTTAATTATGGAAATTACACTAATTGGCTGTGGGAAAAGGCCTCAATTTGGAAACAATATAAGCACCCACAACATGGAAAGTTCTTTTAATACTGGGGATGGCACAGAAGGCTGCCACTGAACCATGTACCACCAGGCCTAATATGGTTTTTGGGGTTTTTTGGTGGGTGAGGTGAGACAGGGGCTAGCCTCATAGCCCAAATTGACCTGGAGTCCAAACAATTCTCTTGCTTGGTGATGTTATAGGCATGAACTATGATGTCCAGCTCTTTTACGATTTTTATTAGTTGTTTTAAATCATGTGCCACAATGAGTTCAGGTACCTGCAGAGGCTTCAGACACCCTTGGGGCTGGAATTACTGGTAGCTATGAGCTGGGCTAGGAACCAGATCCTCTGGAAAAGCAGCAAGTACTCAACAGCTGAGCCATCTCTCTAGCTTTTATTTTATTTTGTTTTTTGAGATGGGTTTCTCTGTGCACCTTTGAAACCTGTCCTGGAACTCACTTTGTAGACCAGGCTGGCCCAAACTCAGAGATACGTCTGCCACTGCCTCTGGAATGCTGCAATTAAAGACATGTGCCACCACTGTCCGGCTTGCCCCTAATTTTATAAGACAGAGTCTCACTCTATAGTCCAAGCTGGCCTGGAACTCTAAAAAACCCTCCTGCTTCAGCCTCCCAAGAGGCGGGATTATAGGCCTGAGCTACTACATGTAGCCAGCCATACCCACTTCATCCTTCAAGATGTTTTTTTAAGCTGACTTTCTGGGTTTGGGTGCTTTCCAAGACACATGGGTTTGAAATTCCACACCCAACCAGATGGCAGAGTTAACAGACCAATAAGCAGAGAGAGAACAGCAGAGATGTCTCAGAGGCTGGGAAAGCCTTTCCAAGGGCCAGTAAAAGTCAAATCCCAAGTACAAACCTAACAAAGAAATGCCGTACTTTATTAGAAAATCTGATTTTAAAAAATAGGGGCTGAGCCCGGCAGTGGTATCGCACACCTCTAATCCCAACAGTCAGAAGGCAGAGGCAGGTAGAGCTGTGAGTCTGAGGCCAGCCTGATCTACAGAGTTCCAGGGCAGGCTCCAAAGCTACACAGAGAAACCCTGTCTTGAACCCACCCTTCCCAACCACCCCCCAAAAAAAGAATGGGATATTTTTTTCAAATAAGAGCTGTTAATTTACAGCGGTGCAGCAGTGCCTAGCATGCACATATCCCTGGTTTTCAACCCTAGCACCAGACCAAACAAAACAAAGTAAAACCACAAAATTAAAAGTAGTGGCTGAAGGGAATGGA